TCAGATTTTTCACTGCAGAGTGTTTTAGCTCGAATTGATAAGCTTTTTGGAATTGATTTTTTCATATACATAGAGTGACAACTTTGATAATGTAAGTACTGCATTTTGTTAGTTTCTTTTAAATGAATTTTTGTTTTAGGTTTTTGATTGTCAATGATCTAAGAAAGAAATAATTTTGTCTGAATAATTCCAAGTGAATTTCAAGCAAGAAAATTGGTTTAAATCTTGTAGAAATTCTTTTAGTGAATTTATTCCGTGTTGCCAAACAATAAAGATATCATCTATACATCTTAACCAAAGAAGAGGAGTTAAAGGATTGTTTGAAAGAAAATTTTGCTCTAATAGACCCATGAAAATATTAGCGTAGGCTGGGGCCATATATATATATATATGTGTGTGTGTGTGTCCATCCGCACGATAACTTGAGTAATTTTTGTCAGATTTTGATAAAATTTTGTATGAAGGTGTAAGGCGGGATACACTTGAACGAGTTCGCGAACCCGCATAATCGGACTATGGGAACAGGGGTTTACGGGGGGTTTAATGGGGTAAAAATAGGGTTTTCCCATTTTTGACAAAAAAAAACATAAAATTAAGCAATTTCTTTTCAAACCATTTTGTAGAGCTTAAAAACAAATAATTTAGTATATTGAAGCGTTATTAAGCGCCTAATGGTTACGGAGAAAATAAAAAAAAATGTAAATTTAAAATTCCCATGTTATTCTTATGGAGAACAAGTAAACTGTTGTAGTTTGCTTGTTTATGAACATCTATCTATATAAATAAAATTACAGTTTTGTCTGTACATTGCTTAGAATCATGCAGTTTTTGGTTATTTTTACGTTTCATAGCCTAAGAAAGCCGAAACGAGTCTTATCTCAATTTCTGTCTGTATGTCTGTCTGTCTGTTTGTCCATTCTGTGACTTCGTCTGTAACGCCAAAATGTCATTTTACGCGGCCTACTCCTTGAAAACTAGAGTACAGATCAAGATTCCAATTATTTTTCTGTATTCACTGGATTGGCGAGAGTGTCTTTGGCTATTAAAATATGGCCTAACCACTTTTGAAAAAATATAACAAACCATCAAAAACCCAATTTTGTTCGATTTTTGTCAAATTTTCCCCCAATGTTTACTATTACATTTTATGAAATAACGATCAGCTGTTTGGATTAGTTCTCATTTCTAGCTGTCACTGATATGTTTACATTAAATACTGTTTACAAATACCGCAACCATTTCCGATAAAGTTTTGTTAGCACATCCAAACCAAGTTAGATTAAAACCGTTGTGCCTTACTTAACCGGTTTAATTAATCGCAAGTGCAACGATTGTTCTTAAGTTTTTATAACCGGGGAAAATACTGAGAATCAGTGTTGTGAATCAGTGCTGGGAAACTTACATTTTTTTAATCATCGTCACCAATAGTTTAGAAAAAGGTTTCCATTCAATGACGGCGTAACAAAGACAGTTGTGTAAAGTGCAAAGTAAAAAATCAACTGCAGTGGGTGATCGTGGATGTTGCTGTGATCTTGGAAGATCTTTCTAATTTCACTGTGATCATAACATATGTTTAACTTACAGATGTAGCTAAAATCGCAACTCGCTTTTTCCAATGTGTCACTTTCGGTTTCTACTTACTTACATTTCGACAACGACATCGGTACTTTTTCTACTTAGGAAGTAAAACTACAAACGTCCAAAACCCCAGATTTGTGCGTTTTTTGTCACATTTCCTCCGAATGTTTTCTAGATATGTGTACCGATTATAGTTTAGAGATTACGTAATCTTTTAAAAAAGAAACCTTTGTTTGGATAAAGGTGGTTTCTTCAAACTGTCATTAATATGTTAACATTAAAAGTTGCTTACAAATAAATGGGAAATAACTATAATTTTCGAAAACTTAAAAAAAATTTAAACCAAGGGAGATTAATAGCTTCGGTACTGCACCACATCAAGTGAATGTTTTTTTTAGCAAACCATATATAATAATATAATAGTGAGTTTTTAAAGCTTTACGTTGTTAACGTTACATGTTTTGTGGCCTGTGTATTTATTTATTTATATATTTTCCAACGAATTACCACCTATAACCAGTTTGATTAGAAGGACAGTTTGAATTGGTCGTAATCGTAAGTACTATAGTTCTTTTCTTAAATGTAAACGTTGGTTTTTGGTACTGCTAATTTTCCTTAGAACTGGTGGTAGCAGCAAGAATAATTTTTACGTACAAACACATCACTATTTACAACTATAGTTATCGTTAGTGCTGTACCTTATTTCTTATTAAATTTAATTGATGTCTTACTGTATATAATTTTATTGCGTTTTCTGTCTGGACTCCAAAATGTTACTTTATGCTATGAAAATGATAATACATTAGTGACCGATTTATTTAGCAAACCATCATGAATTTTTAAAGCTTGGCGTTGTTAACGTACCAATGTTTTGTGGGCTGTGTATTTATTTAATTATTTATATATTTGCCAACGGATTTACACCAATTTTACAGTTTGATTAGGCCTAAAAACGGTTATTATAAAATTTGATGACACTATCAAAACTTTAAAATAATTGTAATTTGCTTTGGTTAAAGCGTAGTAAATCCCCTAATTCATTTCTGTATTTGTGTGTGAAAGCCTGTTGGTAACGCATTAATGTCCTTATTTCTCAGTGTTTCGTGAAAAAAGAGCACCTTTGTTAATGCAAATTTCAACCCGAATAAAGTGTGCAGTAGTGAGGTTGAGGTAGTATTTTTACTACTTTTAACCAGTGTGAAAAGTAACTTTCAATTACAGGCCTCCGTAAGTTAAGGGCTATGCCTCATAGATCTATAAAGCAGTTCCTTTTATCATTAGATATAAAATATGGACTAACATGATCGGTTGACACTTAATTGCGAAGCATTCGTTTTGGCTTTGAAACTGTCAGATATTGTGTTTGTGAAGGTTTATTATGTATTCCTAAACAGTAATAGTTTAACCAGCATATCTGGAAAAATGCACACTAAATATGCAAACCAACTCCTGTTCTGAATGTAAGGTTTCAACCTACTACAAGATTCCCGTACGTAGAACGGGCAAACAGCTAGTATTTTGATAAAATTTGGAATATGTTTTTATTTCTTACCAACTATTAACATAAACAAAACAGTTTAACCCTCCCTGATGCAGCAATCCTAAGTACTTGTTAAACTAATTCTATTTAAATAGGAAATAAATGTTATATTTTTAAGTAGACATTTTAGTGTAAATCTAATCAGGCAAATGGAAATTCGCTTAGTTGCTGGTTTGCTGCGGCGGGGGTATTTAGTCTTCACGTACAGGGACTTAAATGTTTGTATTAAATTGTTAGCAATTTATCAATTTATTTATGTTAGCAATTTATAGCAATTAATCGTGGACAGAATCTTCCACAAAAGATAATTACAATATAGTTTAACACCCTAGAACTCCTTAGGGTAACATTAAAAAAATATTTTTTGTTAAGGCTTCGTCATAATGTAAAAAATACTCAATACAACAAATTCATTAATTTTACATAAGTAAACGTTGATAGTTGTATGCGTATTGTATTTTTTATATATCTTCTGTATACATCTAGTCCTCTATATTTTCTGTGTACACAAATGCTTTTGTAGGTATACAATTTATTTTGCAACTTACAATAGGCTAACTGAGAAATATGTTAAACCGGTGAACTGTTTTTATAAATTTTTGCCATTATTTCTCAACCCATGCTTAAAAAATTAGTGACTCGTGGATAAAGCCAGATACCAAATTTAATCTAAATCGGACCACAGGTTTTGTCTGTAGATCTGTATCTGGATCATACAAGTGTGTATTATATTACCCGATATCACTCAAAATATGTTTTATTCTATAACGTTTAATTAAATTAAACATTAAAGTCACGCTCCCTCCATTTTTGAAGTATTCAGTCCAAAAATGTAATAAATTTACTTGCGCATACTTATTTATTTCGTGTTAATAAATAATTGAGGTGATGCAATACACTTATGTAGGCAGTCGCAGCAGTCAAAGCCGGGCATAGCGCCTAGAGTTTCACGAACGCAAACCTTGCAACGAGTAGCTAAATGAGCCGTAGAGTAAGTGAACCATCTAATATTTTGAAGAGGGTTCACTTACTCTACAGCTCATTGTGCCAATGATCTGTAGTGTAAGTGAGCCATCTAATATTTTTCTGCAGGCTCGTATAGTATACGAGCCTATTCCTATAATTTATATTGATTCATGATTTTGGCTCGTATACTATACGAGCCGATTCCTGAATTATCAAATAATTCGTACGCTTGGCTCATAGTCACTATGATCTGTAGAGTAAGCGAACCTTCCTACTGTATTTTTAAATATAATACACGAGGCTCATAGGCACAATGATTTGTAGAGTAAGTGAACCCTCTTCATTTATTTTTTATTTTCGATAGGCTCGTATAGTATACGAGCCTGTAGTGCAAGTGAACCTTCAATATTATTTACAAAGCTCGTATAGTCTATGATCTGTAGAGTAAGTGAGCTGTCCCCGTATGGTAGGCCAACCTGTGAGAATATGCATAAATTGTAAAAGGTGGGTTTTCTTATAAAATAAATATAAATAATGTTTTGTCTGTATCTGTTTTAAATTGAATTAATTTGTTTTTAGCGTTTGTATACATTATTAGTGTTTAAAAGCTAAAAGTTAAATAAATTAATTGTAAAAAATATTAATATGTGCATACAAATACAAACCATGGATTTTGTAATATAATGGTATACCACTAATCTCAGTGTCTACAGCCGATGTCAACATGTATTATTCCAATCGCAAATTAATTATAATGACTTTCTGAAACATATAACTCCATACAACACTATAGATAATCTCTAAGTGACTACCTCCAGATGTTATGCCAAACAAAACGACCTAAAGCTGAGTTTTGGCGGTCTGTTTCTGTTGTTGTTGATGTTGATGTAGTCGTCAGTTACTGCAACAAAATTAAGATAGGTTGGAATTATGATTTGTTATTTTAAGTTTTTATAAGCTGTATTAACAATGCATTAAAGTTTATAATATTTAATTGTGTGAATTTGTAACTTTGCAAAAGTTAAGTTACATAAACAGTGTAACGAAAGTGAAGAATAGGTAATACTGGTTTAAGTCTAGGTGTGCATTTACCTATTGCCTTGTTATAATAAATTTTGGCCTTATTTTAAAGGCAATTAATTTATAATTAAATGGTTTGGATAGCATAATTACAATCACTACACTAGTTTTGAATATTTTAGCATACCGGTACTAAAACGTACAAGTAAATAAAGTCAATTTAAGTTACTGTAGCTGTTATAGCCTAATATGAATGGCAAGATTAAAATAAAGAAATCTTCATACTAAACATTTGATCTTATATACAAACTTGAAGATCCCCTCACAGTTCAAAATACGTCTATTTAAATTAAAAGTAACATATGTTTGAAATAGGATTGATGAGCAAAGGAAATAATACAATTAAAATCAATCCTCATAACCTGATTTAACCTCTAATCTGTCCTAGATCTAGCTAAGTAGCTGTACAACTTATAACACTAGGACTGTTTCTTATAGGCCTAACTTATTTGAAGGAAACACCATGGAGGAAAATATCTCAGATTTGTTAGAAAATCCAGAAGATCCAGTTCCAGAAAAATGCAAAGAAAAGAAAAAACAACGCCGGTCTAAGAAGTCTGTTGTTGTAGAAGAGGAAAATATAGTTGAAGAAAACATCATGGAAGACGATATCCCAGATTTGTTAGAAAATAATCCAGAACATCCAGTTCCAGAAAAATGCCAAGAAAAGAAAAAACGAGGCCGGTCTAAGAAATCTATTGTTGTAGAAGATTTAAATATAGTTGAGGAAAACATCATGGAAGACGATATCTCAGATTCGTTAGCAAATAATCTTGGAGATTCAGTTACAGAAAAAGGTCAAGGAAAGAAAAAACAAGGCCGGTCTAAGAAGTCTGTTGTTGTAGAAAATGAAAATGTAGTCAAGGAAAACATCATGGAAGACGATATCCCAGATTTGTTGGGAAATAATCCCGGAGATCCAGTCCCAGAAAAAGATCAAGGAAAGAAAAAACGAGGCCGGTCTACAAAGAAGTCTGTTGTTGTAGAAGATGAAAAGAGGGTGAAGTTTCTTAGCAAACTTCTCAACTGTGATGGAATGCCTTCTCACACAGTCGAAGTTTTGAAACTTGAGGTGACTAACCTAGTTTCTGTTAGCTGTAAGCTATTTATAAAATTGTAAACACTTGTTTCTTCACAGTTTAATCAAATTATTTAAGTCCTTTAAATTATAAATTCTTGTTAAAATTACCAAATCTTTTCCTCCTAACAATAACGTGTAGGCTGGAGGTCAGCAATGGCTCACTGCTCACCATAAGCAATGATCCTTCATTTGCTGGTCCTGTGAGCAGAACTTGAAGATACATGATTTAAGTAAAGGCTCATACAAATATTGGTTCATACATCAATTGAATTAAGTTAGTGTCAAAATCAATCATCTCTTATAATTTAAAGATCTCTAATAAGTTAGGTACCAAGATTATCTTTCTACACAGTGTTTGGACGTCACACATTAATAGTTGCTGGTTCAAGCAGGCTTTTAAAGTGACAATTTATGGTTATTTCATATAGGCTATTTTACATTTTAGCAAGACTCGGTTAGGCCTACTCTATATTTTTTTTACAAAAACAGCATACAAGTTTCCACTGAATAAAATAGGCTACTTTGTTTAGGAACAAGAGAAGGGTCATCTATACAAACTCAACTCTTTAGAGATGGAGAAATTGTGGAACGATTTACGGGACCCTGTTAAGACCAGACTAAACAATCTGATGTGTCCAGAAGTAGAACAGTTTAAGGAAGAAAGTCGAGAAGTATTATCAGCAATTATAAGCCTACTTCTGCACACAACTGCCCTTCACGATGTTGCAGATAGTGAAGCCTTGGCTTGGATCGCTGTTGCCTTTAACTTGGTCCTCATTGAAAAAAACACAGGACAACAGGTTAGTTTAGGCCTAACAGTATTTTAAATCTTGAGCATGTTTTAGAGTGTGGCAATGACCACACTAAGCATTGTTTTGATAATTTAGATATACTAGTTCATAATTTAACCCATTTGTGAAATGTGAGCAACAATCTGTTTCATTACCTATTTGTATTTTTTCCGAGTTTTTTAAGCTTGTTACTTCCAACCAGAAGTTAGAAAATAATGTGCTTAGTCTAGCTACATGTACCAATTAAAAACAGGATCCTAATACGTACATTTAATACATCCGCGTAAGTTACATAGGCACACAGCAGATCTCATTGTTTACAGTCATGTTAAAAGCGGGCAGCCTACTGTAGGTCCCCTACTTGTTGAATATCACCTAATCCATTTATTTAGCCAGGATTATGATGGCTTTATATTCACCATTAGGTAATGATCAAAGTTCTTAAGAAAGCTGGTTCATGCAGTGTATGATGGTATAATACCGCTACAGTATGTGTAGTTCATATCCCAATATGAAATACATTTAAATGATAAGTTTTCAAGGTTTAAAAATCTGCCAAGACAAAATAGGCTCCTTAAAGAGTGACATCTGTAAGATGTTTAAATGCACATCTTTGAACAAATTGTCTGACAGTGTAGTCAAATGAATTTTTTGGCGAATATAGGCTAGATCAATATTGGAGTGGGGGCGGACCTATCTATGTATGATCACTTGTAAGATTGTGTAGGCTAAAATTATAAACACATTTTAGCTAGGTATTGTGTGTTTTAAGGATATGTATGTTTTCCAGCTAAAAAGTAAAATCTCCGAGCTCTGCGAGTATTGCTGCATTAAAGGGATCAGAGTAGATGGAAGTTTCTACTTGAACACAATTAACTTCCTGTTGGATCTAACTGTAGATGACAAGAATGGTGTTGACAGGGTATGTAGCAAATTTAATATATACCGTATTATAATTTTTCAAAATGTACTATTTTAAAATGCCTACCCACAAAACTTCTCACATTTTCCATTAACGTTGTGGGTTTACAAACACATGTTTTAAATCACCATTATGTCTACATGACATTAGATTACAGGAATTAACAGAGACTTAAGCATTTATAGTTATACATAGGCCTACACAGTAGCTATCACGATTACTAGAAAAATACCGGTATGGATCATAAACATAAACAAATGACGTTTTTGGCCCGAAAATAAACATAATTTAACATTGCTTAAATGGATCAGCCAAAACATATGTTCAATGCTATTAGTATAGGATTCGGGCCAACAACGTCATTTGTTTATATTTATGATCCATACCGTATTTTTCTAGTATTCGTGGTAGCTATACAGCAGAGTCACAATTATATCCTAACTTTGGTTATTCAACTTTCCGTGTTATCCAACACCTCTTCGGATAATGAAGTAGGGCCTAATGACAAAGCAAATAGAACTGGCGGGTCAAGGTAATGTTTTTAAATAGGCCAGCTGGTATTAATCATTCAACCGCCAGTTCTATTTGAGTCGACTATAGCATGAAATTTTACTGTGGTATGACCTTACTTGCCTACTGTACAGGGTAGGGGAGCGAGCTGGTATAGTGGTTAGAGTGCGGGACTTTGGCCCCTGAGGTCTTGGATTCAAATCCCGCCAAGTCACCAATTGATTTTATCGATGTGATAATGCCGCAACCCTTAGGTTTAGCCTGAAGTAATGAGTAGGCCTATATTATTTTCCGTGTTAACTGACCTTTATGCTGTTTAGGTTGTATAATCGAGATGCTACTGTATAATTTAAACTAAGTTAAGTTATTGAGTTTCAATTTATTTGCCAAATTATTTTGTTTTACAAAAAAGAGGAGGGTTGTGTCTGTGTCCCAATCAGCATGTTTTGTATATTGAATATTCTGTCGACCCACAGAAGCCCGAGATCAAGAGAATGTGGGAAATGAGAGTCGCCCTGGCTCGACTAAACTTGAGAACGCAGAGTTGTGAGAGTGTTGTGGCGCGACTAGAGAAGATTGTAGCCAGCCCTACCTACCTGGCTTGCAAGGAGGGGCGACAGTTCATTGCCTTCACATTGACTTTGGACATCAAGTTGATAAAGGTATATTTAGGCAAGATATTTTTTGAACTGGAAAAGACCTTGTATCGTTTTGAAGATTTTTGCTTACACTACACTGGCATTTTGTTGTAGTGTAATTCTAGAGAGTGAATTGATGAGTCGGGAGAGGTCTTTTAACAAAATATATCAGTGTTAGCCTATGTTTTGCGACCTTTTATTGTCCTGGACTCTAACTTTTATCAAGTAAGTTAGCTATGAGACTATATTATGTCCTAGCTTTAATTTTTGCCACCTTTCCTCGCTAATTGATTCCTCAAACTTGGCAATCTTATGGTTCACATTTTGCAAAGTTAAGCCTTTACAAAAAACTACAGCATTACCTAAAGTTTCCTTTGTCACATAGCTTTCACTTAAGACATAGTCTTGAATAAACCAACTCAAAAGCATGTTACTTTACCTAGTGCCAATGTGTAATAGCATATCTCAGTCTTGCATTATTTTTTCTCAGAGGCTTCACAAAGCAATCAAAGACTTTCTCTCAATCTGCAAAAGGACCCAGGCTTGTGCGTACGGAGAAGTTTACTACAGCGCTTGGTTCAACGGAAGCTCAGAAGTGCGACAGGTAGGACTAAATGTTTAAAACCAAAATTGAATATTAAGAAGTCAAGTTAATAAATTTTAATCTACATAAAATAATAATAGTAGCCTTAAAAATTCCTGCAAACTCAGCACTGGTGACCCGGCTGTCTGGATTACTAATTAGAAAACCTATCAAATGTTTTTGTAAGTTCCTCGTAACTTTTTGAGATAATTACAACCCTGCAAGAGACCCGGGGTGGTCGACTGCAGAACTTGGTAGCTTCAACAGCTACACAGTACAGCCTTTGCCATTTTAGACTTTTAGTTAGTGGTACTTGGGGTCATTGAGACTGAGCTATGTGATTCATGCTAACGTGTCTCCATGACAGGAATCAATGCTGGTAGCCTAGCCAAGTTTTATGTCAGGCGGCATCAAAATGTGAAATTTAATGTACTTGCGTCAATAAAGTAAATTTATGTGTGGCAATTGTACATGAAGTTATAATAAATTGTAGTATATATGTATGAGAAAGAAGATAAAAAGACTGTATTATGACTAAGTTAAATGTTTGCCACCTGTTTTCAATAATTGGGCACTTCTTAAACTTGGCTTAAGTTAGTAGGTCTGTACGGTATAATAACCGAATCATTATACAACAACCACAAGTTACCTTGTTGTGAAATGCAATTAATCTTTAATCCACCCACTTACATAATTAAACAACTTAATTTGTACTGGTATAGAATGAACCACGCAAGTTTCTTTCAGATGTATCTGCACTTGTATCAGCTCAGTAACACTGTAATGTCTGTCCCTAGGAGCTGGAGAAGCACTGCATCCAGAACCTGATGACCCACATGTTTGTGTTCAAACGACACAAACAGGAGCTGGTCCACACAGGTCAGAACGTGTTCGCCATCTTGTCCTACCTACATCACCACCGAACCACGGCACAGTTCAGCAAAGTGCTCACCGAGCTGTACATGCCTCTACTGTGGCGTCATCTGCGGGTGAGTCCGCAGCAATACAATCCTTGACAATATGAAGTATATAGTAGAATTGATTTTTTTACCTTTCGTGTTATTCGACCCATCTATTGGACGGTTAAGTAATGTTAGATCACTAGCTATTTTTTGTGACATGACTGTACACCATAGTGAGACAAGTCTTTTTACTGCCCTGACTTTACAGTTATTACCATAAAAGGTTTAAATTACCTGTATCCGTCAAGTGATCCTGGTTTGTAGTTGGTTGACTACAGCTGTTTCATGTTAATACTAACACATCTTCAGGTCAAATTTATGCATTGACTAGCTGTAACCCGCGGGCTTTGCCCCGTTTAACTTCTTAATTTTCAAGATTATCTCGTTCGCATGGCTCAATCACGTCCTGGTTGAAGTTTGTTCGCTACGCTCACTTACCTTTAGGTTGGAGCTCGTTCGCTACGCTCACTCACCTTTAGGTTGGAGCTTGTTCGCTGCGCTCACTTGCCTTCAGGTTAGCTCGTTCGCTACGCTAACTCGCCTCCAGGTTGAAGTTCGTTCGCTATGCTCACTCACCTTTTGGTTGCAAATTAGCTGTTGTCATAAATGTAAAAGAAATAATAGTGCTGCACCCTGTTGGTAATCCTTGTAACTTTAATGCTATTGAACATCATTGACAAGAACCAACTTGTTTAATTGAAACAGCTGTTAAGATTCAATAATTCCATTTCTCATAAGGTTAACATGGGAAACTCCAGAGCCACTGGGGCGGAGCCCGAAAGGATTTTTGAAATAAGAATATGCCTATATGTTAATCGGGAATGTGAGCTATCATCATGCCAAATTTCAGCCCAATCCAACCAGTATTTTTCGCGTTCACTTGTCACAAACATACATCCATACATCCATACATCCATCCATACATCCAAATTTTCTCATTTATAATATTAGTAGGAAGTAGGATTAGTAGGATTTATTCCATAGAATGGTCGTCATAAGGTTTAAAGTTCACAAAAAATAACACATACACGTACACGAAACATTTAACACTGTGGCCAAAACACAAGATTAAAAAGCACGTAATTAACATCGGACACGTACGGCGCCGGTAGAAGGTAGGTCATGACCATAAAAATGAAATTGGATACTTTACAGTTATTGGAAGCCTGTACTTTCCAGGCTTTGTTTTTGCACACTGTATACTTCCAACACTACAGAGTTTGTCATAATCTTATACCTGCATATCTCTCTGCTACCCCTCACGACTGAGTTTAGGAGTGAGTGGAGACCTGTTGCTCAGTAGCCAAATATCGCTTGATCTTTTATTTCATTGTTTTAATCATGATGTTTTCACTGATATTTTTTTTTAGTTTGTGTTTGTAACAGTGGCTTGCTTTCATGGGAAAACAATAATTTGTTGAGTTGTGCTTATCACCTCAAATCCGAATTAGGTGATGCATTTAGTAATTCTATTAAACATATACTTTTGAATTTTTCAATGTTTAAAATATAATGTTTACAAAGGTTTCATTTTTATTGTTTTCTGTTATCCTACCTTTCAGCTTATCCGACCTTAGCATTGCTGGTTTAGTCCATACAAATAAGACCCTATTCTAATTATAAGCTTTTACTCTTTCCTTTTACAAAACCTATGATATTTAAAAAATTTACATGATGTACCTAATTTGAATTCATAAACCGTCTGTCTCACTTTTTTGTTAATAGTAATATAATGTTTGCAAAACCAAAAATATTTCATACATAAATGGATATTACTTGCGATTTTCTACTTTGATGATATCTATTTCAAGCTCACAAAATGACTGGATTATTTGGAAAGGTCAGAGTCTAATTTGATAAACTGTTGGACAGAGTGGAAACAACATAGAGAGATCGAACGCCGCCCTTGTGTTCCTGGATGTTTATCCGCTGGAGATGCCAGGATCAGGACGAGCTGACGAGAGTGACTTCTGTATCAAACAACACAACGAGATGGTGGACTTGCTGACGGACACCTGCCATGTCGTCCGCATGATTGCCATCAGGGTAAGCTGTCGTTTAGAAAGTAATCTACTTTGGTTTATTATCAGCGTAAACTATCAGCAGTGATATCTCCACACATATTGTGGGTTTACTTGAATAAGTATCCGGGCTTACTATGCTTGGCTTTCTACTAGGGTGCTATTTTTTAATGAAAAAAATGGCCTTACAGTAGGCTACTATTGCCAAATTGGTAAAAAAACCAAAACATAGCTGAACACACTATAATAAATGTTGACTGATTGTGAGAATTGGGTCTACTGTCGTGTGCTGTGAGGCTGAATTAAAACAGAATGCACGAAAATGCCGATCAGCAAGATCACTAAAATGTTGGAATACCGAATGCCATCAATAGAAAAAGTTATGGCGAGAATAGTGGAGTTATTGTTAAAATGGAGAGTAAGCTGTTAATAGGGATCGAGCCATTTTCCCATGTACCTCAGCCGATTGATCAAAACCTCGGCCAAACAACCCCCAAAGGTGCTTACAGGGCCAAATTCCATTAGATCGATGCTGGATTATTTAATGTGCCGTCTAATCGGATGTTGGATTTTAGCTGGAACTTTGGCAAACCATGATGCCCTCTGCGAATAAAAACCTTTTTCTTATTGCATACCAGTGCAATAAAAGAAGTGTGAAACCCAAAATGTATTCCTTCTATGTGATATATTTTTTTGAACATGTTTCCATCAATTTTACTAACTTTCTTTTAAATATAGATTATAGTTTGAGTCAAGTTAGATTTCAGAAGTGGATACTGTTTTGGCCTATGGTTTTCTACTAAACTACAACGAAATACTTGTTTGATACTGCTTGAATAAGTAAAACCTTCATTGTGTATTCTAAATGAATATTTTTAACAGGTTTATTTTACTCCTTCAATCTGTTTGTAGGGAATCTGCAGCAAGCTGTGTTCAGCATGGCGTACGTTTCCCCAAGAGACGATACAGGTGCTGATGAGGAACCTGATAGAACTGTCCAACGATGCGTCAGACTACAAGGTCAGGGTGACTCTGTACGACAGTCTGCGCGATCTGCTCTTGAACCCAGAGTCTGCGGCATATCTGATGCGCATCCTGCCCAAACTGCGTGACAACATCCATGATGAGAATGAAAAAGTAAGATTGAATTAGTAGCCTAATAAGGACTCTGAAAAACCCACATTTATGATTAGGGACAACTTTAATACTAGGAACACTCAGTTCTGTAATTTTTGAGTTTACTACACCACTGATTTTTATTAGGGATTAGTTTGTTGGTTTGTCTGTAATGACACTATTGTTGTTTGTTTTTTTTCACAAGAATAGACAATACTTAAAATTCACACTAAAAACTAGAAATCTGAAAACCTACAATAGCAAGTACAATGTATAGAGTCTTACTGTGAATTGTTTTCAACAATTTAGTTACCTCTTCTGAAATCCGTTTAGTATCGAACAGATAGACCTCATTGTACAAGCTAGGTGAATATTTTACTAAATTTATGCATACATAATAGTATATTTCATCACTAGGGCCTAAAGTGACTCTTTTTGACCCAAGATCAAGTTTTACTTGATGAAAAATGACCAAGGGTTAAAAAGACACTTTTTGCCCGTATGGTGATCAATAGTTTTAGCGAATTTCCCATATAGGGAATAAGCTATTACCGTAGTACTCACGGTAAGACCTGGACCCGGGACCGATTTTTTTTTCGTTTTGAGGTCCCTAGAGGTCAAAAACACCATCCATTCAAATTCATATATATATATATATATATTTATTAAGCAAATCAAAATACCACAGTACCCTAGAAACATTTTATTTTATATTAATTGTTTCTAGGGTACTGTGGTATTTTGATTTGCTTAATAACATTTAAAGTAGCCCTCATTGATGTATACAATAACAAAATATATATTTATATATATATATATATATTTATATATATATATTTATATATATATATATTTATATATATATATATTTATATATATATATATATATATATATATATATATATATATGTGTCCGTTAGCGCGATAACTCGAGCAAAAATGATCCGATTTTGATGAAATTTGGTACAAACGTGTAAACCTACGTTTATTCGAATGAGTTCGCGAACCAGCATGATCGGACCATGGTAACGGGGGTTTATGGGGGCTTTTATGGGGTAAAAATGGGTTTTTCCCATTTTTGACCCAAAAAACATAAAATTTTGCAATTTCTTTCGAATTTATTTTGTAGAGCTTAAAAAAACAAATAATTTAGTATATTGAAGCGTTGTAATGCGCCTAATGGTTACGGAGAAAATTCCAAAAAATTGTAAATTTAAAATTCCCATGTTATTCTTATGGAGAATAAGTAAACTGTTGTAGTTTGCTTGTTTATAAACATATTTTGCCCAAATTTGGAAAATGTTTTTATTTCTTACTAACTATTAACATTTTACATAAAAAACACTTTTACCCTCCCTGTTGCAGCAAACCTAAGTATGTTTTAAACTGATTCTATTTAAATAGGGAATAAATGTGATAATTTTAAGGAGACTTTTTAGTGTAAATCCATTCAGGGAAATGGAAATTTGCTTAGTCTGCAGGTTTGCTGCGGCGGGGGTATTTGTCATATTGCATAGTTAATTAACAAACTAAGCTAGAAAACAAAACAATGTTTATATAAAGATAATCTTTCAAAACTTCCAGCTTGTTTTCAATTATGTAATGCTTATAAGCAGCTGTTTAGTAAGTGATTAAATTATTGGCAGAGGATACACGTCCGGTAACCGTACGTGGATTAGACGTCCGGCAATTACTGTCATAACCTAACCTAACCAACCAAACTTGCTGATAATGAAAAAATCTAATTAAGGTTAAATTCTTTCTCTAAAAAAAAATTATAAATGCCAAAAATTCTAATAAAAGATGTACAGTTAAGAATAAATGGTATTCAATGCAAACTCTTCGACAAAAAGTTAAAGTCATCAATGAGATTCGAACCCTGGACCTCTTGCATATCAGCCGAGCACCTTATCCACTACACCACGACCACCGATGGCTGAACGTTGTATTGTTGTGGTAAAGGCGTTCCAGGCTCCCGCAACCCCATGACGTCATTGCCGTACGCCTTATCCACGTCCGGTTACCGGACGCGTATCCTCTATGTAAATTATTTTGTCTATTACGATTGTGTTACAGTACATTAAACCATCAATATGTCGAGCGATCAACAACAATAGGCTAAAAACCTTACCTAATAAATTAATTGATAAATAATTTTGATCCATACGATAGAACACAAATCAAAATTAACGACTATTTACAACAGCTGATTTTTACTCCCTTGTGACTAAAAATGATATTTTACTCCCTAGAGAGTAAAAATACTATTTTAGACCCGCAACCCATGCACTAAAAACTACTGTTTTTGCTGTAGTATGACGAAAATTCATATAAATAGACATTTTAACATATCACATTTAATCTCTTCAACAAGTAAATTAGCGAAACTTACATTTGAATGATATTATTTGGAAACTAAATATTTTTTAATACTATAATTTTTTCAGGTTCGGAAATCATTTGTGAAACTGCTTCTTAGTGTTAAGACCCAGACTAGTGAAACGCGGGTTCCATACTGGAAAATTGTACCCATCGACCATCTAGCTGCAAGACTTCAGGTACGTTGACTCTCACCCTTGTACAAAGATATTTCTTTTCACACAGAGTGAAGTGGTATGCCTATGTCTATGTGCATGTGCCTATGAGTGCTGGTTTTCTATTCTGGCCTGGCATAGTTTCACTGGGTATATGATGGTTTCCATGATGTAGAGTGTGTTTATTTTTCAGCTGGAGAAGGCGGAGGTTGGGTCTCTCTTGTGTAAGCTGTTGATGAGTAATATCTACTCCCCGGACCATAGCGCCGACGTGTTTCTGTTCCGGATCATCCGGTTCATTGACACCAACCCAGCAGCTGCTCGCAATCTCTTTCAGTTCTCTATGAAGGTATGTAAACAATACAATTTCTAATCAATATATTAACTGAAAATTAGTTTTTAATCAAAATATATTAGTTGGAAAAGTAGCATGATTACTTAAAGTCTGTAGAATCAAAGACTAGACTATATTGATGTCAGGGTAATTGAATTGAAATGTGATCTACAGAATTATTGAAAAGTCTGCACTCCATGTTGTGTGCTTGTTTTTGTAAGAGCCTTAAAGAACTTTTTGCCTTGTCACTTTAGGTTTTAAAGACAGTAGGCTCATCAAGTAGGCTAAATCATTTTCACAATTTAATCAGCATTTTTTTACATATTGCTCAAGTTACACTCTAAATGTATTCCAACCTTAAAGTTTTATTTTATTTTTATAAGAACTTTAATATAATAAGTAATAATACAATTTTGACATTGAAAAAGTTTGTTTATTTACCAAATCCCTTGGTGCAGCAAGATTACTTAGCTTTTATAATTTAATGTTTTTTTTAAGGTGTTGGAGTATAAGGACGCAGTGAGAATAATGTTGACCATATTGTTGAATCTTCGAGCTTACGTGAAGAAGAAACTTGAAGAATCAAATGTTTCAAATGTTCCTGAAGAGCAAGAAAACAAGTCGAGCGGGAGTTCTTCTGGCGGCAGACGGAGAAAGAAACGGAAATCATTGGAACATTTACAGACCATTTGTGAAAATGAACAAGATGAATTAGGTAAAAATCTATCGAGGAAAAAATAACTAAGTAACCCTGTGGTCATAAAATTGTGTTCGGTTTTAAATGTTTTCTGTAACATCAGGAAATACTCGTATTCTGTATCTTCCCCAATTAACTTTTGAGTTTGGGGTTCCAATTACACAACAAAATACCTAATATTCGTTTCACTTCACAACACCTTATTAAATAAATTAACACCTCATGGTTTCCATTGTTTTCATCATTATGAAAGCTGTTTTACATCGGTTGAGTCAGAGAGGTAGTCAAAAGTCAAGTTAGTAGTTGTATTTGAACATGTAAACCGTAAACACATAAGGCATTCGATTAAAAAGGACTTGTGAAAATAACTTTACCAATTTTCCACATTACCTTTCTCTACTAGCTGTTTTGTAGGGTTATTGACGAAACATAGAAATGAAACTAGCTGCCTCATTCATCCTAAACAAGAAACTTTCAAACAGTGTTTAGATTTAGTAGCAATCCTAAAAACTAGAAGAGTAGCATACGACAATTTACCTAGCCAAGTCAAAACCTTGTTTTACATCCTTTACTCAACCAGTGTAAACCAGGCTTCAACATCATCACTTTTCATGATTCCTTTTTATGTGCGTTTTGGCTGGATTTAATTCTACTGTAATAAAGAGAAACTGCAAATTAGAGAACATAAATATGTTGCATTTAACACAAAATAAGGCTAAATAAACAGCATCACTATTTTTATTTTATAATTTTTAATGATATTTTATAATTTTTACAGTTTATTATTAATTTTTGGTACCCAAGAAAATTTTTTGTTTCTTTTGAATCAACTGTACCTCATTGACAAGTTTTGTCAACTTGGTGAAGCCAGGCCAATGTAATATTACAAATGAATATACTTATATATATATATATATAATGAAGTACATGAATTTGAATTTCCAGAAGAAACGGACAAAGAAAATAGTAGCCAGTTGAGCAACACCAACAGCTCAGCAGACAGCAGCAAAGAAGAAGACGAGTTTGGTCGTCCTGGAGTGTTCCACGCACTGGTAGACATTGTCAGTCTGTTGTGGTCCATGCACAGCAACAAGCTGGCAGACCCTGAGAGACACAAGGACCATGAGGACTTGATGGATTGTGCAGTGGCTGGCATCCCTCTCTTCCTTAGGTATTACAAGGTGAGTTTGGTCGTCCTGGAGTGTTCCACGCACTGGTTGACATTGTCAGTCTGTTGAGGTCCATGCACAGCAACAAGCTGGCAGACCCTGAGAGACACAAGGACCATGAGGACTTGATGGATTGTGCAGTGGCTGGCATCCCTCTCTTCCTTAGGTATTACAAGGTGAGTTTGGTTGTCCTGGAGTGTTCCACGCACTGGTTGACATTGTCAGTCTGTTGTGGTCCATGCACAGCAACAAGCTGGCAGACCCTGAGAGACACAAGGACCATGAGGACTTGATGGATTGTGCAGTGGCTGGCATCCCTCTCTTCCTGAGGTATTACAAGGTGAGTTTGGTCGTCCTGGAGTGTTCCACGCACTGGTTGACATTGTCAGTCTGTTGTGGTCCATGCACAGCAACAAGCTGGCAGACCCTGAGAGACACAAGGACCATGAGGACTTGATGGATTGTGCAGTGGCTGGCATCCCTCTCTTCCTTAGGTATTACAAGGTGAGTTTGGTTGTCCTGGAGTGTTCCACGCACTGGTTGACATTGTCAGTCTGTTGTGGTCCATGCACAGCAACAAGCTGGCAGACCCTGAGAGACACAAGGACCATGAGGACTTGATGGATTGTGCAGTGGCTGGCATCCCTCTCTTCCTTAGTTATTACAAGGTGAGTTTGGTCGTCCTGGAGTGTTCCACGCACTGGTTGACATTGTCAGTCTGTTGTGGTCCATGCACAGCAACAAGCTGGCAGACCCTGAGAGACACAAGGACCATGAGGACTTGATGGATTGTGCAGTGGCTGGCATCCCTCTCTTCCTTAGGTATTACAAGGTGAGTTTGGTTGTCCTGGAGTGTTCCACGCACTGGTTGACATTGTCAGTCTGTTGTGGTCCATGCACAGCAACAAGCTGGCAGACCCTGAGAGACACAAGGACCATGAGGACTTGATGGATTGTGCAGTGGCTGGCATCCCTCTCTTCCTGAGGTATTACAAGGTGAGTTTGGTCGTCCTGGAGTGTTCCACGCACTGGTTGACATTGTCAGTCTGTTGTGGTCCATGCACAGCAACAAGCTGGCAGACCCTGAGAGACACAAGGACCATGAGGACTTGATGGATTGTGCAGTGGCTGGCATCCCTCTCTTCCTTAGGTATTACAAGGTGAGTTTGGTTGTCCTGGAGTGTTCCACGCACTGGTTGACATTGTCAGTCTGTTGTGGTCCATGCACAGCAACAAGCTGGCAGACCCTGAGAGACACAAGGACCATGAGGACTTGATGGATTGTGCAGTGGCTGGCATCCCTCTCTTCCTTAGTTATTACAAGGTGAGTTTGGTCGTCCTGGAGTGTTCCACGCACTGGTTGACATTGTCAGTCTGTTGTGGTCCATGCACAGCAACAAGCTGGCAGATCCTGAGAGACACAAGGACCATGAGGACTTGATGGATTGTGCAGTGGCTGGCATCCCTCTCTTCCTTAGGTATTACAAGGTGAGTTTGGTTGTCCTGGAGTGTTCCACGCACTGGTTGACATTGTCAGTCTGTTGTGGTCCATGCACAGCAACAAGCTGGCAGATCCTGAGAGACACAAGGACCATGAGGACTTGATGGATTGTGCAGTGGCTGGCATCCCTCTCTTCCTTAGGTATTACAAGGTGAGTTTGGTTGTCCTGGAGTGTTCCACGCACTGGTTGACATTGTCAGTCTGTTGTGGTCCATGCACAGCAACAAGCTGGCAGATCCTGAGAGACACAAGGACCATGAGGACTTGATGGATTGTGCAGTGGCTGGCATCCCTCTCTTCCTTAGGTATTACAAGGTGAGCATACAACATGTAACTGGGGAAGCTTCCACAAATGGCTATTAGTCGGTCCACCTGTCAAAAAAATGTGTCCCTCAGGCTGAGAACTTTTCTGTCTAGAAGACCTCTCTATTAAAATCCATGCACTTCAATGAGTAGAGTTACTTTCAATTTCAGTCAATTGATTGTTAAGCTAATAATTGTGATTCATTATGATTCACTTCTGAATCATAACTTAACCTTTAGACGTAGGAGACACATCCATCTCTAAACAATATTGTATTGTTGCAGGGTTCGCCTACTTACTTTGCCGTCATCCAGCTGGCAAGTTTGGTCCCGCCCAACAGACTAATAGCCAGCTCGACTGTGTGCAGTGCATGTGCCGCCAGTCTTAAGGTAAACATTAGAACATAGACATGTAGGTTTGTTATTGACTACAGTGATTTAATTGCTTCATCTCTTCATTCAAACAATGACTTTGCATATGTAGCCTATTGTAATTAAATATGAATGTAGGGTGAGTATATAGTGTAGTAAAGTGAGCATTGTTATTTGCTATGACAAGTTGTTTTCTTGTTATTTGTGTTTTAACACCATTGGTATTTTTTATGTCGTTTGCAAGAGAATAATCCAAACCCTATTCTTGTTACGATTGTTGACATTTTATAAAGCGTAATTAATGACAAAATTTGTCATTTAATCATTTTGTCAGTGCCATTTAATGGCCTCTGGGCCCAGAAATTATCTTACTTAGAATCGAACCAGCGACCTTTTCCGTTAAAATAAGCATGCTTCTATAACAAAGATTGTTTGAATTTTTTTTTTCAGTTACCGGTACTTTTTTGCTTGGCCTAAATAAAGCTAATACCCTATTATTAAAAAAAAAAAAAATTAATCAAATACTTATTCTTCTCATTATTCTCTTTATCACCACCAGGCAGTGTCGGAGATGACGCCCCAAGGTGAAATAGAGGTGTTGATCAACGCCCTCTGTTCTTGGAACCGGTTTGTGGACATTCAAGACATTGTTGTGGACTGGCTGGACCAAGCTTTCCGCTGTGAAGGGCTGAACCAGTCTAATAATCCAGTAAGTGTTACACATGTTTTTACAAATATTCAATGTTGGTAGGAAATCATTATTTGTTGAAGCCTATCTGAGCGTAGTTTTTGTATGATTTGGTATAACTATATACGATTTATGTTTGCATATACTCAGTAGTTTTTGCGTTCACCGTAGGAGCAAAAAGTTCACAGAAAATCTCTTTTACAGTATTATATTTGGTATGTCTAAAAGGAATAGAGTTCAGATAGCTTACCTTTAGTAAATTTACTAACTACTTATTTTTTTACTTTTGCAAAATTATTTCACTGAGTTCAAGGGGCTGATGGTCACAAAACAACACACATAGTTCGTCCTACTGTAGGACGTTCAGATATTTGTTCTAAATAGCCACTTGGCTTTCCTTTAAATATTTTATTATTTTTATTTTACATTATACGTCATTAAGCCAATATATGCTATGTTGTCTCTAGGCCAAGGCCTATATGTTATAATACTCTCTCTAAGATGGGGACACAGACTTATTTTAACCTAAATATAGAATGTAAGATGAGTGTGGAATGAAGTAAGATGCCTTTTGTATTTGGCACCTGACCAAGATCAGGTGTTTCTTTTGCCTGGACCATTTATTCTAACGATGATCAAGGACAGCTCAGCACCTCATTAGCACCTTCAAAGCTACTGACTTTCCTCGGATACAACTCGTAACCTTTTGATCTTTTGATTGCTAGACTAGCACTAAAACTACTTAGCTACTCATATTTTGGATCATAGATTATCCCCCGATCTAACAGCTTGTGTTTGTTTGTTTATTCAGACGTTAGAACACAAGCAAAGGAAAGTGAGGTTCATCGCCAAAGGAGGCAAACCTATGCTGGCTCTGAGACTACTGGACGCTGTGTTCTTTCACCCTCTCAACAAGAAGAGAGTCCTGGGCAAGGCTTACAACCAGGTGTACGAGCTGTTCATGTACCTGGAGCGGATAAAGGTACTGTGACACAGTCTTGTAGTATAACTAGACTCTCCATTCCCATATTAAAGTTGTACCCAGTTTTAGAATATTAATCAACATACAGCACAGTGCAATTTTGATAAAATTCATTCAAAGTGACCAAACCAAGAATTCGGCATATCTAGTGTTTGGTTGCTTGGAGGTTAGTTGAACTGAAAATTCCCTATGATAGTTCACATACCATCTGTGTTAAGTCTGTCCACAAAATAGAGAGTGAGACTTAATACTGTTATTGTCATTAGTGAGCGTCTCAATCTCATTAGGGAGCAAACTGGTGTAGGAACGGTACTTCGGTCCCTGAGGTCCTGGGTTCAAATTCTACCAGTCCCCAATGGATTGTATATAAGGGATAATGCCACAACCCCTCTAGTCTGAAGTAATGTGTCAAACATTTCCAATCTAGAGTCTATCACACAAAAAAGTGAACATCTCTCTTTTTATTCTGTGATTTTACCTGTTAAAACTTAATGTAAAATCGTATAAAATATCTTTAAAAATTAAATTCAAAAAGATAGAAAACATTTAATCAATGTTTTCTATCCAAGGTACTTTTTAAACACCTACACAGAAAGGAAGAAAAGTTCAAAGCAAACTTGTAGCTAGGGAAAAAACTGTAAAATCTCAAGGTACAAAAAGTAAAACAACACAGTACTTTAAGAACATTGTGGTAAGCCTGCTATCTCAAAGAAAATTCTTAAACCTAGGCTATTGTGTTCTATATTAGACTCTTAACCTCAAAATTAAGGCTGACTCTAATGAGGTTTATATTGTACAGACTCTGGTGGACCGTCGTCTGCTAGGAGGTCTACCGCTGGACTCTGCCATGCTGGGAGATGACTTCCTTCTCAAGTGTTTCCTCCGCTATGCCAAGCTGATCCTGATCCTACATCGCCCCGAGCCACAGTCCGCCTCCGACAGTCGGTCCATCGTTGACCCATTTGACGCCGGTGAAGTCTTCCAGCAGCTGATCCAGTGGGCTACCATGTAATGTGATTTTGCTTCTTGTTTTAGTATTTTTGATGAGGAGAATCACACTATAAGTGTTTCTCTTTGAGTTAGTGTGTTTTATTTAGAGTAAACATGGAAGGAAAATGTATAAAGTTGAGTCTTATTGGTCTGAACTTGTTTTGTTCAAACATAAAAGAAGGGATGGATATTCAACTAAGTTGCCCAAGAATAGACTTCGAGACTGTGAGATGCACTCAAAAAGTTCACAACACTTTGTTATTTTGCTTCTTCAAAAGGTATTTTTTATTTTTTAGTAGGAAGTAGTAGACAAAACTGCCATTGTACTTTGTAGAATTCAAAAACTATGATGGCAGATCTCTAAATTCAGTTGTTTGTCCAATTATACATTTTATAGGTATGCTGGTTTTTGTTTTTAAGTGCTACTTAATTGTGAAAAACTTAAAATGAGTTGTAAATATTGTTGACCACAAAGAAACACTTGGAGTGGTGAACTTGGCAATTAAACCTTAGACATTGGTATGGTGGACCAATCCTAATTTCTGATTCATCAATGATTTTGATACTGGTGGAATCGAGGAATCGTCATCATAACTAGGCTAATCTTAAGGTTAACACTTTATGTTAACATTAACACTGTGATGTTATATGTTTGACAGATCAGTCAGAACCATGTTACCCCAAAGGTTGGAGGATGAGCCGGACATCAGCGTGTTGTTGATGAAGGATCTGCTACGTGTTGCTGCCAACCTCGTAGACCTCAACTATGCAGGGAAAACAACCATCGTCAAGTTGGCTGCTCTGATTAAAGACATACTGTCATCTGGTCAGTTTAAAATTGTGCTATTACGAGTTGATATATATTCAATCTAGTGTCAATTAATAATATTCTATTTTCCTATATTTTAATACCAGCTGATTGGTTAATTATTTATTGTTTTCTGTTGTGAGTCAGTTGTACAATTTAATGTTTTTGTTTCAGTGTTTGTACATTTTACAATGTTCAAATATATTTCTCAAATGCTTAAAGTTTATTTAATTTAGAGACACAATATTGGCGACGAGGATGAGTGAAATACTTAAGCTTAAAAAGGTATTAACTGCAGTCAAAATTCAAATTAGGAAAGCTTACAATGCAATTGTACAAAATAAAACAGTTAGAGAAGACATGAGTAGTGATGAAGTCACAGTGCGGTTGTCTTCATTACGGACATATTGGAACAGATTCGAAAATGCTCAATCTGAACTCGAATCTTTAGTTGATGAAGAAGATATTGAGCAATTAGCAACTAGCAGAAGTGAAATTGAAGAGCTGTACATTACAACCGAAGTGGTGTTAAGAAACAAACTGCAATCCCCAACCACAGTTACGAATCAGTCTTCAGTAGGTCTACACCCTTCTGTTACATCAAATATTGCTTTTGTTCCGTTCGATGAAGGAGAATCATTTACAAACTTCGTTAAAAGATTTGAAAACTTTATTTCCTTGAAGGAAATTTCTGATGATAAAACCAAACTTTGCACATTACTTGCAGTGCTTCCACCAAAATTACATGAACAGCTTCAAGACCTGGTTTCTCCAGATGATCCATACAAGATGAATTACAAAAATGTGGTAACAGTGTTGAAGGATTATTTGGAACCGTTACCTAGTGTTATATCTCTTCAACACAAATTTTTGTGCCATGTTCAGCAAGACGAATCAACGATGGATTTTTCAATGGAACTGAAGAGACTAGCAAAGGATTGTCGTTTTCAATGTGAATGTGGGAAATCGGTATCAGACATGTTACTAAGAATGCAGTTTGTTAGAGGACTTAAAGATAATGATGTAAGAGGGCAGTTACTACAGAAAGAAACAAGTACTTTCAAAGAATCAGTGCAAGCTGCAATTTCCTTCGAATCCTCAAGACTTGAGAGCAGCATTATATCAAATCCTACAACAGCTGCTGTTCTTAAGCTAACAGGAAGTACTGAAAGAAAAATGCCGCAACAACAACAATATGCAAGCAAAGGCCCAACCAAGAAGACCGAAAGATATCATACAGTTCGCTCTACATTTGACCAACTACGTGGACGGTGCTATCGATGCGGGGATAAATTCCATAAAGCTGACAGTTGCAGGTATAAGGATGAATTCTGCAATTCTTGTAATAAGGTCGGTCACTTAGCCAGGGTCTGCATGGCAAAGAACAGAGCTAGGCATATCAATCAGATCGAGGACAGTGAAAATGTAAGTGATATTGACCACGCAACGTACGACACATATAAGATACAAATGAATGGTTCTGACAAGTTCATGGTTGAAGTTACACTAGAAGGAAAGCCAATTCAAATGGAATTGGACACAGGAGCAGCTTTATCGTCGATATCATACAAGGATTATAAGAAACTAAATTTGAGTAAAAAGCTATTTCAAACTCATGTACAACTAAGAACTTACACGGGCGAACTTATCAAACCAAAGGGGGTAGTGTATGTCGAGTTTAACTTCAAAGACAAAGCATACTTCGGTAAGCTGTATGTTATTGGACAAAATGTTGAACCAATTTTCGGAAGAGAGTGGCTTAGGGAAATTAACTTAAAAATTGGGGATATCCGAACTATTCAAGAAAACTCGTGTGATCTTTCTAAACTCCTTACAGAATTCTCCGATGTTTTCAAAAAGGAAATTGGATGTATTCCAAATGAGAAGGTTCATTTATCCCTTCAAGAAGGTTGCAAGCCCATTTTCATCAAACCCAGACAAGTTCCATACTCACTTAAAGGAAAAGTAGAAGACGAACTCAATCGACTAGAGAATGCCGGTATAATCACTAAGGTAAACAATGCTCAGTGGGGAACGCCAATTGTCCCAGTGGTTAAACCCAATGGATCTGTAAGAATATGTGCAGACTATAAAACTACACTAAATAAAGTGATACAAGACGACAAACATCCAATACCTAGGATAGAGGACATTTTCGCAGAAATGAATGGAGGCAAGCTATTTTGTACCTTGGACATAAGCAATGCTTACCTGCACATGCAAATGGACGAGGAAAGTTCAAATATGCAAACTATAAGTACTGAAAAAGGTCTTTACAAAGTCAACAGAATGATGTTTGGGGTTAAGGTAGCACCATCAGTATGGCAAAGGTTCATGGACAGAATACTACAAGGAATTAGTGGTGTTAAATGCTTCTTTGACGACATTATCATACAAGGATCAAATTATGAAGAAACTGTGCAAAGATTGAAGCTAGTCCTTGATAAAATGAGGGAACATGACCTTAGGTTGAATTTTGAAAAGTGTAAATTCTTTCAGAAAAGGATTGCTTACTTAGGTCATACAATTGATGAAAATGGACTCCAAAAAGGGTCTGAAAAGGTAAAAGCGATTGTTGAAGCAAAGCGACCTCGTGATGTCAACCAATTACGTTCTTTCATAGGTTTGGCAAACTACTACAATAAGTTCATACCTAAACTGGCAGAGAAACTAAACCCATTGAACAAACTCTTACAGAAGGGCAAGAAATTCGAATGGACTGATGAATGTGAAAGAAGTTTTGAATCTGTTAAAATGGACATTGCCAAAGACAAAACTCTAATCCACTACAATCCGTCATTACCTTTAATACTGTCAACAGATGCATCACCAACTGGCTTAGGAGCTGTAATTTCACACCGGCTAAATGATGGAACAGAAAAGCCAATTGCCTTTGCATCTAGATCACTGAGTAAAAGTGAGAATCAATACAGTCAAATTGACAAGGAAGCGACCGCCATTTATTGGGGTGTGAAAAAGTTCTTTCCATACTGCTATGGCAGGAAATTCATTCTTGTCACAGACCACAAACCTCTTGTATCTATTTTTCATCCTTCAAAATCCCTACCTGCAATGTCAGCTACACGTTTGTTAAATTACGCTCTTTTCCTTGCTGGTTTTGACTATAAAATAGAGTACAGAAAAACTTCAGACCACTCCAATGCAGATTTTCTTTCAAGATTCCCAGTAGAAAAGTTAGAAGAAGGTGAAGATCTCTATTCAAAATTTCAGATGAATCAAATATCTATGCTACCACTTACCAAAGAGACAATTGCAGAACATACGAAGAAGGATACTTTTTTCTCTAAAGTCAAGATAGCCCTTGAAAATGGAGATGATCTTGAGACAATGGGATTAAACAACAACGAGTACACATTACACAAAGGATGTGTTTTTCGAGGTATAAGGGTTGTGATACCTTCATCTCTTCAGAAAGAAGTACTCAAAGAACTACACGTGGGCCACCTTGGGATGACAAAAATGAAAGCAATGGCAAGAAGCTATTTGTACTGGAAGAATGTAGACAGAGACATTGAAGAGCTGGTCAGAAACTGTAAGATATGTTCCCAGAAGAGAAATGAACCTCCAAAAGACAGGAATCACCCTTGGGAAGAACCATCTGGACCATGGGAGAGAATACACTTAGATTTCCTTGGGCCCATGAATGGAAATTACTTCCTAGTCATCATTGATGCCCATACTAAATGGCTAGAAATATTACATACAAAATCTACTACAGCAGAATGGTGTATCAAAAAGCTACAACATCTATTTACAACGTTTGGTCTTCCAGTGACAGTCGTTACAGACAACGGGACACAATTCACCAGCACGGCTTTTCAAAACTATTTGAAAGAAAATGGAATTTGTCACAGAACATGCGCACCATTTCACCCTTCTAGCAATGGACAAGCAGAAAGATTCGTACAAACCGTGAAGAAGGGGCTAAAATCAATGGTGGGGGAGAGAGGTGACATACAAACAAAGATCGACGCATTAGTCACACAGCTGAGGAAGGCACCAAGCTCTACAACTGGAATGTCTGCATACAAGATGATGTTTGGCAGAGACATCAGAACTAAACTAAACGTCATGTCAGATAAAACAGAATGGTTTAGAGTTGAACAAAGGAAGATTGGAAGACAGTTCAGTGTGGGACAAAAGGTGCAAGCGAGGAACTATGCATCCAAAGAAAAGTGGAGATTAGGAGAGATCATCAGTCGAGTGGGCAATGTCATGTACAGAATAAAAATGGACAACGGATTGATATGGACCAGACACACTGACCAGATCCTCCCTAAGAATTAAGAGGGGAGAGTTGATATATATTCAATCTAGTGTCAATTAATAATATTCTATTTTCCTATATTTTAATACCAGCTGATTGGTTAATTATTTATTGTTTTCTGTTGTGAGTCAGTTGTACAATTTAATGTTTTTGTTTCAGTGTTTGTACATTTTACAATGTTCAAATATATTTCTCAAATGCTTAAAGTTTATTTAATTTAGAGACACAATACGAGTAATGATTGTGTGCTTTAATGTAAAACAAGTAGACTGTTGTTGTTCAACATTTCGCGTGAGATTATGACTACTGAACATGTTGATGTGTATTTATTAGGGATGGACGGGATTGAATTTTTGGTTCGGGACGGGACGGGACGGGATTTTTATTTCCTTCCCAATTTTCGGGACGGGACGGGATTTTTTTCTATGCATAAAAAGAAAGTCTTGAGTATTGCAGTTACCAAAAAAGACATACGAAATCAATTTTTACCGTTTGTGGCACTGATCTATAAAAACCAAAAAATGGGTACGGTAACAATTTACAGGTACCTATAGAAACTTATGACTCACGGTCGAAATGACTCGCGGTCCCGGTGCGATCGTCGGTATGACTCGTGGTCACGGCATGATCGTCGGTATGACTCACGGTCACGGCGCGATCGTCGGTATGACTCCGCGGTCACGGCGTGATTGCCGGAATGACTCCTCGGTCACGGCGCGATCGTCGGTATGACTCCGCGGTCACAGGGTGATCGTCGGTATTACACGCGGTCACGGCATGATCTCGGTATCAAATCAAATCAAATCAAAACATTCTTTATTCATTATAGTTTCACATTACATGAACTTGAATAGAGTCATAAGCTAAATTCAAAATTGCTTACTGCTAATTAAATACATAAAAAGAGTACTAAAATTACTTTACTTGAACTTTTAACAAAACCATGACTTTAAGGATAACAGTATTTGGAATTCAAATTAAGTTAGGCCTAACTGTTTTTTACTAATACTAAAGAATTCTGTTACTGAGTAGCAGGGAGTTCTTAAAAAATATTCCTTTAAGAGCTGCTTGAATTTATTAAATTTTGTTTCTTTTCGGATGTGAGCTGGTATAGACTGGAGAAATTTTAGCCCTATGTAAGATGTCTTTTTAGTGTAAAATTCGAGATTATGCCGAGGTAGGTTAATTTTTAATCTGGTGTTATATACTAATTGTTCTGTTGAGCTGGATGATAGTTGGATCTGTTTTGCATAAATTATTGTTTCATAAATATAAAGACTATAAACTGTTAATATTTGTAATTCACGAAAGATGCTCTTGACTGGCTCTTTCTTTTTAAGATTTTTCATCACCCTGATAGCTTTTTTCTGCTTAATTAGTACTTTATCTAAATTAGTTTTTGTTGTTGCCCCGTATAGAACAATTCCATATGAAATATGTGAATGTATTAATGAGAAATAAACAACTCTTAAAGTGTCTAAACTGCATACTCTGAACATCTGTCGCAGCGCATGGATACCGGAAGATACCTTTTTAACCACATAGTTCACATGGCCCTCCCAAGATAGATGTTTATCGATAATTAGACCAAGAAATTTTGTTTGCTTTACTTGGTTTATTCTTTCTGATTTTATGCAAATGTTTGGTTCAAAATTTTGTCTACGTTGTTTAGTGGAAAATGATATAAAATTGGATTTTTCTGTGTTAATAAGCAGATTTTTTCGGTCAAGGAATTCTTTAGTGGATAAAAGACTCTCCTGAGAAAATGTTTCAATCTGTTGTTTTACTTGTTGTGTGACTCGCGATCACGGCAGGATCGTCGGAATGACTCGCGATCACGGCACGATCGTCGGAATGACTCCGCGGTCACGGCGCGATCGTCGGCATGACTCCGCGGTCACGGCGCGATCTTCGGTAGGACTCCACGGTCACGACGTGATCGTCGTTATGACTCGCCATCACGGCATGATCGTCAGTATGACTCCGCGGTCACGGCGCGATCGTCGGTATGACTCGCGGTCACGGCGTGATTGTCGGTATGACTCGTTGTCACGGCACGATCGTCGGTAGGACTCCGCGGTCACGGCGGGATCGTTGGTATGACTCGCCATCACGGCGTGATCGTTGGTATGACTCCGCGGTCACAGCGCGATCTTCGTTTTGACTCGCGGTCACAGAGCGATCGTCGGTCCATGAATCTCGGTCACGGCGTGATCGTTGTTATGACTCCGCGGTCACGTTGCGATCGTCGGTCCAATAATCGCGGTCACGGCGTTCTTTGTTATGACTCCGCGGTCACGGCGCGATCGCCGGTCCAATAATCGCGGTCACGGCGCGATCGTCGTTATGACTCCGCGGTCACGGCGCGATCGCCGGTCCAATAATCGCGGTCACGGCGCCATCGTCGTTATGACTCCGCGGTCACGGCGCAATCGTCGAAATGACTTCGTCTCCTGCGTTCGCGGACCTATCGCTCGCAATAGCGGCGTCATCGGCACTCGCGAAGCGGCAAAATCGCCGACGATCGGACCAAATCCCGTCCCGAAAAATTCCCGAATAAAATGTAATCCCGTCCCGATAATCGGGAATATTTTTTTCCCGAAAAATTCCCGAAATTTCGGGACCCGTCCATCCCTAGTATTTATATTTTGTTATATGATAGATTTTTTGTGTACATTACATTACTTGACTAGACTTATCGAATTAAATGTTGTCTATCATTAAATCTTTACATATTTACAATGCTGAATTTTGAATCAATAAAGTTGAATAGTGACAAAATATGATTAGGTAGGATAGACGAATAAACGAGGTAAGAATAAACGATGCAAAATTAGAAACAACATGGGGTTGATCTTTAAATTAGTTTGGAGCTTTGTCAATGAGTTATTAAAAATTAAAAATGCATTTGATTTTCTTCTATAACTGGTTTAGTTTTTGTAAAACTCTACATTGAGGGTAAGCAAAAATACTTTGTTTTGGGTGACTTAAAACTTAAAAGTGTTATTTTTAGAAGTGTATACAACTTGCCCCTGTTTTCCAGAATGCAGTTTGTGGTACGTGGAGCCGAGCATGATTGTGGTGAAGCATATGAAGGACTATTGCGAGGCGTTCTACGGGCCGCAGGATCAGGATCAGCTGTTGAGGACTGTTGTTCCGTCCTTGCTCAGTCAAGCGATGCGGTCGCTCAGTGAGAACAAGTATACCAAGGAAGAAGTGGTGCAGTGTGTGGAGGTAATGCTGTAGTTGACAAGTTTCTACAAATCATCGTCAGTTACTGGGGTGGTAACTCGTAGGAGTGTGGGGTGAAAATGTTTGCTTCCATCTTTTATTGTACTGTACCATAAAAATAACTTACGCAAACAATACATATTTAATTAAAAAACAACTTGGCACAACATAAATGAGACGCTCCAATTCCCATTATATTGTTCATACAATGGTTCAACCAGTGATCAGTTCAGTTAAATAACTGAACTACACTCATAAAAATTAGCTGTCCGTCTATGGTTATAAAATAATTGGGTCCATTTATATATGAGTCATTGGTATGTGATGGTTAAAAAAGAGGGGCTTATTTTTGAGTCGTTTGTCCATTTATAACAATCACATTACTGTACATATGTTTGTTCATTGACCCGCCTAAAAAATGACTATTTAACTGATCAGGATTTTAGGGGGCTATTTAGGAGTTAGTAGACTAATTTGAATGGAAAAAATCCTTAATTTGAATTAAAATACAGGCAGTATGCATTTTCCCTTATAATAATTACTGTGGATGTCATAAACATCCAACCATATAGCCTGGATAGATATTTCAAATATAAATTTTCTCTTTGCATTTGTCATAATATTATAGTCGATTGGGATTGAGACAAGTTGGTGTAGTTTCATTAATAAGTTCATATTAAAAAATACAGCAGCACACTGTGTCGGCCAAATTGATGTATAGGCAAAGGTTTTTACTAATAATTTTGTTTCCTTCCTTGCTTAGAACATGTACGAGTTGAAAACATCAATGTATGAGGTGGTGAACTGCCTGCAAAAACTGTTTGGACCAAAGTCCCATTTAGTACAGTCAGTTCTCAAATTGTTTACCGATGCTCTTGTCTCCATAATCAGTACGGATATTAAACAGGTTAGTAATTAAGTTAAACTGTTAGATAACAATCTTGGCTGTAACTAAATGTAAATAGTTAATTAAGTGGTGAATCCATCAAATTGATTTGATTTCAATTTGGTCCTAGTACACAATTCCTAAAACAAAATAAACAAAACACTGAATTGCTGAATTTTTTTAAAATCAGCCGCCATATTTGAACTAGAGCTTTGCAAACCTATAGCTCTTTCTAGGTCTGCAGTTGCTTCTTAATTATTGCCTTTCTTCCTTACCTCCTCTGGCAGTGTATTTTCCTTGTTTCTATGTTTCTTGGTTTCCCGTTTCCAATCTTATCCTGTTCAACCTCTCCAACTCCTTTATGGGCTACATTTCCTTCTTTTGATTTACACTTTAGCTGGCTCTTAATTAGAGCAAAGCCATAATTCTTAATTTAATTTGTTATTATAGTTCTGACCAGCTTAATTTTTGCATACTTTTCTTAAATATCCAAGTCTCGTTGCTAAATAGTAACTTCTCAACATTTTTATTCACAATTAATTTTCTTATAACTTAATCAATTACTCACCTCATTCTACTTGTGTTCATGTTCCAGCTGCAAATACTAGACACTGTGGACAAAGTGCAAGAGTTGCCGTTTGTCTGTGGCATTCTGTTGTCAATTGTATCTCGAGCTAACATTGCTCCATTGTGGATTGCTACAATCCCTTCTTCCATCTCCCAACTGTACAGTCAGGTAGGATGGACATTCACTATTTTATCATTGTTCAATCTTTTAAATGATTACGATTCATTGAGTATTATATTTTTGCGAGTAACTCAGATGTCACTTGTCGCGGCCGGTGAACTCACATGTAGACACGTCTTTGTTTTGAAAAATAACAATCGGTAAATTTTAGCGAATTTCCCTATAGGGAAGTAGCTATTACCGTAGGTGGCACGGTAAGACCTAGACCCGGGACCGATTTACTTTTTCATTTTGATGTCCCCAGAGGCCAAAAACACTATTCGTTCAAATTTTTATATATGTATATATATATATATATATAGACTTATATATATATATATATATATACGTCCGTGAACGCGATAACTTGAGTAATTTTTGTCCGATTTTGATGAAATTTGGTTTAAAGGTGTAAAGCGGGATAAACTTGAATGAGTTCGCGAACCAGCACGATCGGACCATGGGAACGGGGCTTTACGGGGGGTTTTATGGGGTAAAAATTGGTTTTTCTCACTTTTGACCCTCAAAACACAAAATTTCCCAATTTCTCTTTAGACCTTTTTAAAGAGCTTAAAAAAACAAATAATTTAGTATATAAAAGTATTTTTGTTCGATTATTAGTAACGGATAAAATTAAAAAAATTGTAAGTTTAAAATTCCCATGTTATTCTTATGGAGAATATTGTCAAATGTTGTACAGTTGAACCTCTATAAGACGAATTTCAAGGGGTGCGGGAAAAATTCGTACTATAGAGGTATTCTTAATAAAGAGGGTCGTTTTATCGAGGTTTAATAGTGTTGTTATTCTTCTTATAGAGGTTTCTCCAAACAATGACCGAGAAAGGAGGAGGTATGGGTGGGGGTTTCATGTTGAGACAAGCTTCTGTTTGTTTTGAAAACTACGTACTATGGAGGTTAAGATTATGATAAATTCGTCTTATAGAGGTCACGTTCGTCTTGTAGAGGTTTTGTGCTAAGAATATTCGTTGTATAGAGGTTAATCAGTCCTAGCCCATGTCACAAGCAAATTCGGCTTATGGAGGTTTTTAACTTAATTTCTACGTCGTATAGAGGTGTTTTTAGCATTGACCTATATGGAAGTGTCAAGGGGATTAAACAAAAATTCGTCTTATCGAGGAATTCGTTTTATCGAGGTTCGTACAAACGAGGTTCAACTGTAGTTTGCTTGTTTATGAATATATTTTGATCAAACTTGGCAAATTTATTTATTTTGTACTAAGCTATCAATATTTTACTCAAAAACACACTTTATTAGTTTCCTTGTAGCAGCAAACCTAGGTACTCGTTAAACCTAATGTTATTAAAATATATTTAACTGAAAATCAATTCAGACGAATGGAAATTCGCTTAGTCGGCAGGTTTGCTGCGGCGGGGGTATTTTTATTTGTATCCGTGTTTTTGTTATTAGACTATATGTAACTTTAACTGAACGATGTCCAATGGACTGTACTCTTTTTTGTACTAGAGCCTGATAAAAACACAACAATGTGCTAAAACCTAGATCGCAGAAACTACTTTTTGTAACTGGACGACTGAAGGTATCAAACCATTATTAGTTATACTTTTGGATTTTGGATACATCGGAATTCCCAATAAACCAGATTGCTTAAGAAACAAAAAAGTCATTAGTGCAAGCTCTTCCCTTTATTAAAATATTCAAAGTATCAGACTATTGTTCATATTCTTCTATCTTTGACTATTGGTAAAACTAAAGATTACATTCTAATATTAAAGTTGTAGCCAGCTTTGTAATAAAACTGAGCTCAGTTAAATTGATCCACCGACGGATGTAGTGAAGTAAATTACTGATTTCTGTTGATTACGACATCCTTTGTGTAAACCAAGCCAAACTGAAAAGCTTTTTTAAGTCACATCAACCAGATCAGATATGGCAGTGAAAAGAATTACGGGAGACTAAAATGGAGTTTTAAGTAACCTTTAACACACTCTGTGATTGCTCATTCAGCCATCTTTTATTATTAACACGTTCCCTACTCACACTCCTCTGTAACTGAGGGATGAGTATAGTTGGTAGCTAATATGTTAATAGGTAAATACAGGTGGTCCATGTACAGTGGCGATTCCAAGGGGGGGGGGGCTACAGGGCCTAAAGCCCCCCCTTGGACCCTGGAAAAATAAATTTAAACATACATTTCGTCCTTAAAACACGCAATCTCATAAAACAGACATCAATGTAGTTTTTATTAAACTTAAAAGCGATGGCAGGAGTAGTATTAAGTTCCACGTAGATAAACTTTGTGGACAATAGCACAACGAATAAAACAATATTACGCTATGGAAAGTTGTACGCATCATCCGATTTTTACAGCAGTCAGCTGTTAACATGCTAGGGCAAAGACGAGCGCGCAAGCGAGGACAGGGAAAACAGCTGATTTCCTGATGTTCCATAGTTAGTTGTCAAATTGTCTGCTAGCCACTAACTTTACACAGGCATCAATCAGCAACCAGCGGTAGCACCAGTAGCCTATTACCATTGACTATATAAACACTAGTGTTAAAGTTTATATAGTCAATGCTATTACTGATTTCAATACTATAGATATTGTGGCAGATCTATAAAATGGAGAAAAACTTAAGGTTAAAAAACGTGTTTACTTGCTTGCATGACATATAACAGGTGAAATGGAAGGTTTTAGGACAATTGGGCACAGTTCTAGCCGTTAGAAGTGGCTTTATAAAGTCACCAAACGGCTTTTAGGAGATATGGCTTCGTAGTCTACAGTAGGCCTATGTTTTGAAATTCATGAATGCAAGTTCGTCATAGTTTGATTTTTAAAATGTCTATTTGCTCATGACAAACAACAGGTGAAATGGGAGTTTGTGGACAATTGGACACGGTTTTAGGTGTTAAAAATGGCTTTAGAAAGTCACCAAACGGCTTTGAAAATGCCAAATTTTCCCCGGACCCCCCTCCTTTATTGGGGGGTGTGGAGCACCCCCCAAGCCCCCCCTTGACGAGGTCCTAGAACCGCCACTGTCCATGTAGATGGAATGTCTTCAGTTTCTAAAAGTTAATGCTTCTACCTATACTAACTAGTTACTGTACAAGAATTCCATTATTCTGTGAGAAGCCTGAAGTAAAATTGTGCTAAAAAGGTGCAGGCTTATGTCCTAAGGTAGTCTGCTAGACATTGATTAAGCCTCTCAGTGTGCTTAAACGCATTTTCACCTTCTCCTCACAAAAAAAATGTAGGAGGGTTTGTTTTCTTCTTGTCAATCCGATGATTTTTCAGTTTCCACGTTATTCATTAACATCATCGTTGTTCATCATCTGTAGGATGCAGACCTGCTGGCCGCTGCAGTATCACTGCTGCACACACTGGCTCACTGCGGACTGTCGCTGCCTAAACAAGAGCTGTGCCTGGCCGTGAGAGAGGCCCACAGTGCAGTGACCTCCTACAACCGGGAGTCAACAGCTACAAGGCCCAGGGATTCCTCTGTCTTGATAGCCCGGGAATTCACCCTACCCTTGGACACAAAGGCTAAAGAATCACTGGCTTCCCAAGCGAAGGAGTCGCTCGCTTCACAAACAAAGGAGTCACAGGCGTCACAAGCAAAGGAATCCTTGCCATCCAGAACTAAGGAATCATTGCCCATTGAGTCAAGAGAATCAGTAGCCAGTACTAGTGTCTTTAATGAATCTTCGTTCTCTGATCATTCCATGTAAGTAATATCATGTGCACGTGACTCTCCAGTAGATTTGTTGCTATCTACCTACCCATTACACACTAACTTACCAAAAGTAGATATCCCATTTGCAAAATATTTTAATTTGACACCAACGGTTTTTTAGTAATACCAATTGAACCAGAAGAGCACTAACGATGGGGATATCAGCACTAACGGTGGGGATATCAGCACTAACGATTGGTACAATTTTTTATGTTAGTGCTCGATCTTATGAGGAGGCTAACTTTATATAAAGTTGGCGCCACCACAGTTTTTTTTATAATAACACTTGAACCAAAAGAGCACTAGCGATCGGAATTCTAGCACAAACGATTGGTATCATTTTTGACGTTAGTGCTTGAATAAGAGCCAACTTTATTGACCTAGATTAATCATACAACAATACTGTGATCAATGGAGCCTGAGTTGATTGTCGATTTGATAATTCAATCTAATTTTATTTGCAGAGATATCAAGAAAGTTGGACCACCAATATTGTCAGAATTAGCAGCCTTCCTCAACACTACACTGATTTGAAGATTTGTGGTTGGAAGTTTGCCCCGGTATGAAGCCTTCTTCATTTGGAGCCTGCTAACTACTTTTAGTGAACAAAGTTTGTTATTGAATTACTAATGTATTTAAGTTTAACTATATTTTTCAATTACAAGTAACAGACATAGTCTTGCTTAGCTAAGATATTTTGTACATTTTGTATATATTTATGGTAAACATAAAATTTAAGCTTTTGTAACGGTTTTAACAAGTATTGTGTTAAGCATTTATTTCAATTGTGTGTTTCTTGGATGATTTTTTTAAGTTAAAGCTGTATAAATTATTGTAATTAACAGTTAGCTTATTTGCTATACCAGGATAGTAGTATGTTTCATGTTCAGTTATAAAGTATTGTATACAATATACAAAAACTATACAGACTAGTTATTATTAATTATATTTTTTTAATAATATATTTTTGGAAATATTTAACTTTTAAGTTTAGTAGAAAGGACCACTGAAATGATTAAAACTTTTTATGTATTAATGATGGACTAACAAAAGAAGGGACTTTAAATACTTTTTTCTGAGTGATGCTTAGCTACGTTTATCTGCTTTCTAACACCATTTCACAATCTTCATGCGTAGGCTTTCGCGGCCGTTGTCATTGAAATCCATGGTGATGGTTTTCGGCGTCAACAGCGTCGTCAGTTGTATTTCACTGCCAGAGGTTTCGCCCTTACTATGAAGTGGCATCCTCAGTGGCTAGGCTGAGACATGTTAACTGAGGATGCCACTTCATAGTAAGGGCGAAACGTCTGGCAGTGAAATACAACTGACGACGCGGTTGACGCCGAAAACCATCACCATGGACCATTTCACAATGTTTATCTTATTTTGTTTATATTCAGACATAAAGAAATGAAGTTAAACTCATTTTTAATTTTTCCTTTAAAAGAAACTTCAAATATGCTGTAGTGTGTTTTCTGACTAGAGCCTTAAGTGGCACTTTTTTGGCCTGAGAAAGACAGAGACAAAGCTGAAGACGGAAACAGACTTTTTGTTAACCGTAAGCTGCAGAATTGGTAATGTAATGATTGAACTACAATGTTTTATCATATTGTAAATTTCCCAGATCAAGTAACTTATAAATTAGCTCCCAAAATGGTTTGCTATTACATACGAATAGCAGTCGCTGTTATTTATATGTGTATTATTTAATAAACAACAATAAATTCATATTTTATTACTGAAATTCTTAAGTTCCAATTTATCCTAATGTCAATAAAGGGGTATATTTGTAGTGAAATATGTAGACCTAATACAGGGTGTTTCAGTAAAGCGTAAACGGTTATTTTTATTTCGACTTAGTTTAACCGTAATCCGACATTTTGTATTTTTTGAAAATCATTTTATAACTCAAAAGCCCTTAGAGATATTTTTATGAAATTTGGTATTAACTTTGAATCTAGAGCCATAAACATTCTACGAAAATATCTTTGATCAGGCTCATCGAATTTCAAAATGGTGGCCATTTAAAATCTTAAAAGTCAAATTTCATGAAAACTAGCTAATAAAACAAAATTTTGCAACTCATTATTGAAAGTTATTTTTATTATAAATCGAATGACACTTTATTTGCAAAAATCGGATAATATAAAAAAAGTTATGTAACTTTTATTATTTAAACATTTAAAGTAACGAGTTGGTGGCCCGTCCTACGTACAGGAATCGAGTTGTCAACTAAAACGGAATAATTCAGAACATCTAGTTTACACGCATAGACACAAATTCTGGCAGTTTTAATGGGGAAGATCACCTTATAAACAAATGTAAAGTGACCACCTATTTATTCCATTCGAATATAGACCTAAAATATGGCGATATGCATTTTAAATCCGATAATCTTACTATAAAACAGCATTTGTGTCGATTTGAAAAATCTTCAAGTGAGATTGGCGACCGATTCACACTGGTTTTGAGTAGAGTAGTTAAATGCCACCTCCAATTGCATACTGTAGGCTACTGCTATGTACTTACCGTACCTTATCTTACCTCCGTGACCACTGAAACTTTTATGAGGATTTTCTTTTATCGCCTGCCCTCTTCAAAATTTAGATCCCAGTCTGAGGATGCATTTCATAACTTGATTTTCCCGTCTCTCGTGTGGTACTCCTTGGAATATACTTTTTAAAAGTTTATGCAGAGCCTGTCCATCCAAGCTTTACCTACTTCTGGAAAGCATCCCTATATATGGATGTTAACACATTTCTCTTAGCTCTCTGTTCTTTTTTATTTCGACCTCCGGGCCGTTATCTTGAACTGGTCTGTATATTTCCTCTGCACTTTATTATCTAACCAAGCATTAAGGTTTTTCGGTTCTTTGGTCAGTGCCCAAGTTTCTGAATCATCAGTACTACGGGGATAGTTGGTATGGTATGAGTCGACTTAGGTTTCTGCTGCAGTTTATTTGACAGTTTTATAGAGACCTACTACACCGATTGACGCTTTCATTACTAACCAAAAGTTTAGTATGCCGACATACTCACATTCAAACATACAAAAAAAGAAGTATCAACACGTAAACCACTTATATCTTAAACAATTAAGCGATAAACTGCTGAAAAAATATTTCCCAAATATGAGTTGAAATTTGCAATGCATAAACTAAATACTTACACAGATTGCATTCACAACAAAACTTGATTAAACGCAAGTGTTTGAGATGTTTAGTTCAAAATAACACATTTCCTGATAACGCAGATCCTTTACGGTAAGGGAAAACTACCTACATTTTAAAGTGAAATAGTATATAGGCAAACACCAACGAACAATATTTTTGTAAACAAACAACTCGTAACATAAACATTTCAATGACAGTTATAAACCAGCTGTTAAACCAGCATTGAAAATACTTTAAATTTGCTAGCATCGGCTGTTAGACTTTTTAAAAATTAAAACTTAATTTCTAAAAAACTTAAACCTTAAACTAAAATTATGGCTTCGACATTCCCTAGTTCTCAAAATTATCTTTCTTTCAACACAAAAATCATGAAAATCCGTCAAGTGGTTGATTCAGAATCGTGAAATAAAAAAACACTGTTTCGTTTTAATATTATAGATTATCAAAATGGCGGTCATTTAAAAATCAAATTTGAATTCCATAGAAACTATAGTGGCAAAAAAATATTATCAGATATTCTATTTAAAACAGTTGGTAATTCAACTAATCCACATTTACCTCTTAATTGTTCACAAAAACCTTGTCTATTGGGAGTCATGCTCATAAAGAGCCTGAACTCGTTGAATATGATAGGGGTAAAGCAACTGGTTGTTCAAAATTCTCCAAACAAATGAATGGCTAATGATGCTAATCTTCTCGTGCTTGTAATTGGATCTTTTTCCACAGCTCTCAAAACTTCGTTGATTGCTCCAACCACCAGACGGAATTCCAAACCTTTATGTTGTCCCTACGGTTTCCAAGATCACGCCGGACGGGGACAGCGTGATCTTGGACAAACATGATTACGTATTCAAGTTTAAGTTGAAGCCATGCTTCTAAATGGGTGCGGTTTCCAAGTGCGAGCGATTCAAACGCTGAGGACTCACGCCGGACATGGCGGGAAAACCCATGTCCGGCGTGAGTCCTCAGCGTGGCACGCTTAAGATGACCCACAGTCATTTTTGGCATGCAAGCCAAGCGGACAGAAGTTGTTAATTCTTTCCCTCCCCTTCATCCTACAATAATTGCAGTTTACCAAATGACCTTCAAGATGCTTTCGATCCAACCCTCGTGGTGTTGAACACTTGTAAAAATTTAAAAATCACAAAGTTTTCAATGTGATTGTAATAAAAGTAAAATTTATTTAATAAGGCTGTGAACTATCATCCTATATTGAATTTGTTCTTTCCGGTGGTAGGCCTATTGTAATAAAATCCAACTTCTTTGAATGGTTTGTTTTTTATTATAACCAAAACAACTTTTATGGGTCTCTTTGTTTATAGAACCAGATGATTGAGCTATGTGTTGGTAGTTTTTTTTACTTATTTTAAGGACTTTAAAGTTGTTTTAATCACTCCGATGTTCAAGGCCGTAGCCAGGACAAACTTTCGGAGGGGGGGGTCAGGTCAGTGGCAGTTCTAGGACCTTGTCAAGGGGGGCTTGGGGGTTGTGGAACACCCCCCAATAGAAGAGGGGGGTCTGGGGAAAATTTGTGATATTTTTGAAGTACTAGTTAAGTGACTTTCTAAAGCAATTTTTAACACATAAAACTGTCTTCAATTGTAAAAAAAAAACTCCCATTCTAACCTGTTGTTTGTCATAAGTAAGTAGACATTTACAAATTTAAACTATGGCGATTGCATTCATAAATTTCTAACCATACTGTAGGCTACGGCTATATCTACCTAAAAACAGTTTGGTACTTTGTTTAGCCTCCCTTGGAACCGCCACTGTGTCAGGTAATGACTGTGTATAACAGATTTAAGCACTTTCAAACACCGATTACCATGCTTATTTCTAAAATGTTGATATAGTTACATATGAAAAATATTACAGGATGATAAATCTGTTTTGTTTGAGTAAAGTATTTTGTTGAACCTTCATAGTTATATTACCTCTTTAATAAATCAGATTTATTAATATTATTATTACATGAAATATAAATAGTTACTGCAAAACATAATAAAACATAAAATATAATCCTCTGTTGTGGTTTCTATTTTATAATTTAACTTGCACTTTTCAAACCTAGTGTTAATTTTTACTACTAAATTTCAGAATTTGGGGGGGGGGGTTTGACCCCCTAACCCCCCCCCCCCCTGGCTACGGCCTTGCCGATGTTATTTCTAACAGTTATGAGATGATATATCATCTATTGTTAAATTTTAATCAGGCCAGAGGCCATACCACTAAAACCTAACAAATTGTCAAATTAACTATTAAACAAAAAATGGGTAACACTAGGTATTAAAATATCAGCAATTAGAGAACAAGAACTATTGGGAGTCAAAGTGGAACAGGAATCCACTTTTTATTGAGTATTTTAAAAATTACAAAAAAATATTTAAGTCGGTGACCAATCCAAAAGGACAAATCAAGATTACATCAAAAACTTGTAAGACCAAAGCTTCTTGGGCAGTTGTAAAGAAGGAGTTGGGACACAATAAACTAAATCATGAGATACCATGTGATGTTCAGAGCGGCCTGAAAAATAACTGCCATTCTTTGAAAACTATGGCAAATGATTTTGATTTTATTTTCATCGTCATTTTTTTAACTTATAGTGGAAGAATATTAGGAAAATCGACCTAACAAATTCGAACTACCTAGAAATTTTGCACAGCTGTTAAGTAAGCCATGTTCTTGAAAATGTCAAAAGTCCCCGGAAATCCCTGCTGTGCTTCAGCCGCCATCTTGGAAAATGGCGGCCAATTTTCACTTTTTTGACAATATTTCCCAAACTATTGGTATTAGAGAATTTTTGTAAATACAAAAGTTAAAGAACACCTAAAAATACACATTTTTTATATTACAAGGTTTGCTCTATCTCTAACGGCTATTGAGATAAATAATAAAAATAGTTTTAAATTTAAAATTCCCATGTTATTCTTATGAAGGAAAAGAAAATTGTTGCAGTTTGCTTGTTTATGGATATATTTTTATCAAACTTGGCAAACTTATTTATTTTATACTAAGCTAATGATATTTAACATAATTACACACTTTATAACCCTTCCAATAGCAGTAAACGTAGTACTTGTTAAATTTAAAGTGATTTAAATAGGGATTCTATCTTTCATTTTTAGGAAATATTTTAGTAAAAATCCAGGCAGGCAAATGGAAATTCATTTTTAGACACGATTGTTGATTTTTCATTATTAGTATTAAAGAGAAATGGAAAATGGTGGCCGATTTTTTTGAATGACTCTTTAATTGTCAACATTATAAAAAAATTACCAAGAGCTAAATAATATTCGCTACTAAAAACTGAAAAAAATGTTTGTATTTTGTTTATTGATATTGGCAGCACTTTTTTAACAGGAATATTTGACTTGTTCATTGTTAGTCAGCTGACAGTATAATAAAGTATGATAGCTGAGAATGTTTGTTTTACAGATTCTGAAGTTATTTAATTTCAGTAGTGAATATTATTTAGCTCTTGGTAATTTTTGATAATGTTGACAATTAAGGATTCATTCAAAAAATCGGCCGCCATTTTCCATTTCTCTTTAATACTAATAAGGAAAAATTAACAATCGTGTCTAAAAATGAATTTCCATTTGCCTGCCTGGATTTTTACTAAAATATTTCCTAAAAATGAAAGATAGAATCCCTATTTAAATAACTTTAAATTTAACAAGTACTACGTTTACTGCTATTGGAAGGGTTATAAAGTGTGTAATTATGTTAAATATCATTAGCTTAGTATAAAATAAATAAGTTTGCCAAGTTTGATAAAAATATATCCATAAATAAGCAAACTGCAACAATTTTCTTTTCCTTCATAAGAATAACATGGGAATTTTAAATTTAAAACTATTTTTATTATTTATCTCAATAGCCGTTAGAGATAGAGCAAACCTTGTAATATAAAAAATGTGTATTTTTAGGTGTTCTTTAACTTTAGTATCTACACAAATTCTCTAATACCAATAGTTTGGGAAATATTGTCAAAAAAGTGAAAATTGGCCGCCATTTTCCAAGATGGCGGCTGAAGCACAGCAGGGATTTCCGGGGACTTTTGACATTTTCAAGAACATGGCTTACTTAACAGCTGTGCAAAATTTCTAGGTAGTTCGAATTTGTTAGGTCGAATGGCATTTGAATCCCTAAAATTCCTGGACTATTAAGTAATTCAGCAGCAGTAGATCCGAATAAGAACAAAGCCTTGATGTTCATGGTTCATATCTTAGCAAAGATTGATAAGCCTTTTAAGTTAAAAAAAATTAAAATATCAGATTTGAGAAAAACTGTTCATTCATTGAAAAATACTAAATCTTTAGGAAGGGATGAAATCCCCTTATTTGTAATAAAATAAGTGATTGATTTCATCCAAGAATCCTTGTGCAAAATAATAAACCAGTCCCTAGAATGTGGAGTTTTCCCTGAGAAACTCAAATTTTCTGTAATCAAGCCTCTTTATAAAATAAATTGTGTTAATGATTTGAAGAGTTATTGTCCAGTAGCTTTACTGCCATGCTTTTTAAGATATTTGAGAAGGCAGTTGAACTACAATTAAACAATTATATGGAAAATAATATATTTAATATATAACAATTTGACCCAAAAATCAATAACACAAATGGTTAATCATATAGCTGGGGCACTGGATGGGTCGTAGAAGGCTGCGGGTGTGCTGTGCAACCTATCCAGCGCTTTTGACTGTGTTAACCACGACATTTTAATTGAAAAGGTAGGCAAAATTGGAGTTAAAGGAAAAGAGCAACTGTGGTTTTCTTCCTATTTAACTAATAGATATCAGAAAACTAAAATCGGCAAAAATGGTCAACAAGTAAATCCATCTTGGGATAAAGTGCAATGTGGTGTCCCACAGGGGTCAATATTGGGTCCCTCTTTGTTTTTGATCTGCAAATGATATGCCAAATATAACAAAGATGAAACTTTTTCAATATGCAGATGACAATGCTTTTGTGTAGAGGGCCCACTATCGACTTCCTGCAGACTAGCATAGACAAAGAATTCTCTGCTCTGGGTAACTGGTTCTGGGCAATGGTCTGGCCTTATATGTGGAAAAAACACAAATTGAAATTATAAACTTTTCGGCTAACTACAGATTTTTTAGTGGTAAGAGGAAGGTATATAGGGCCCAGGTATCTTCATTTACACTCATACTACTCCATATCACCACACAGGGAAGATTCAAATCACATTATCCTTTCGAATAATCAATTATCTCCACAACAAAATGTAAAATTCCTCGGATTAATTTTCAATAAAAATCCTAACAGGGCATCTCAAATTGAAAATGTAAGTAAAAAATTAGACCCTTGCATTTTTTCAATAAGAATTATACGACAAGTAACAAATCTAGAAACCCAGCTAATAATGTATCATGGATATTTCTCATCATTATTCATTAATGGACATATGGTATGTTGATCTGGGGCAACTCTCCTTATTCAAATAAGATGTTTAAATTACAAAAAAAAGTAATACGAATTATTGGCAAAGTTCCCCCTAGAACCCCTAGTAAACAACTGTTCCAATCAAAGCATATTGACCTATGCTCCTATTTAAGATTTCTTTCCGACTCCTTGCGGGACGTCCCTTATGATGTGACAGAAAATTCATAGTTCCTTGAAAAAGTAGATTTTTAGGTGTGGTGTTGATGTACCAAATCTTATTGATTTATTTGTTGTCGTTTAGAAAATATTAAGCCCGTGCAGGACTTTATATACACCCTGTATAATCCTATATATTTTGGTCAAAGAACCTTACGTGAAATAACAGGTTTCATTTTAGCTATTAGTAAGTTAATTCAAATCGGACGAGTTTCAAGCAAACGCAAGGTGAACAACCAACATACAATTTTATATAACTAAAAATCAATAGCTCCAGTATTGTTCATGTTTTTTTAAAGGTTTTAGACTCATGATATTTTAACGCTGCGGAGCAGCATGGGTCCTCTAGCTAAACTTATTATAAGATATGTTGTTACGATTTATTAAAGAGAAACATCATAGTTTGTAAAAATAGGAGCCCTGGTGAGACCTATGAAATGACATCCCTAGCATTAAATTTGTTTCTCAAATATCTTAGTAGTAGGCGACTCACCATCTTATTACCAATCCATCAGGTGTTAGCGTTCCCTGATTCTCTAACGATCAGCTCGCCAGTAATGATTAGAACATAAACTAGACAAAAATCTTTCTTCTTTTCAAAATGTCAAATTTGTAAGCTAAAATAAAAACCTAATTGGAGGACAGTGAGGAAAACAAAGTTTAAAAGAAATGAGGAAATGTACCTTTTATTATTACATAATTCAAATAATAACACAGTTCTTAGCTAGTAGAGTTTCAAGCTCAAAACAGACATATAATGGAACATAATTATAACTTTTGAAAAGGTTTTATTTGTACTGTACATTAAAACCACAATATAGAGAGAGGGCTGAAACAATTTCAGTACAAATTCATACATTTAAATTTCCGTCAAAACCATTATACATACTTTGACAAAACAAGTATGTAAAAGGGTCAACTTCAAAGATGAATATTTTACTTAAGAATACCAAAAATGCCCAAACAATTGCACAACTAAGTTATTATTTAAAATCAAGACAAAAAATACAATATGCCTATTTAGGTCGTATATTAGGTAGGATTAAACCTTGTCAAAAACTGTTCAAATGTAGAGATAACTAATATCTTTAAGTATAAGAATATTGGGAATCTAGCATGAGGAAAAAACCCAATTTATCGACACAGGAAGTTGTGTGAGAGTTGTCAATATTTTTCAATATTAAAAAACTTCAAATCATTATACTTCATTAGGTAAATGGAGTCCTTTATTGCATTTAAAGACATTAATTTCCTCCCCACTTGAGAACAAAACTTAGAACTGACAAACTATAAAAAATTAAAATGATTACAAGCATGTTGAAACAAACTTAGTACAAAATAGTCAAAATACAACATTGATATTCTAATACTTATGCCATCAAGGTAAAACTACACTGAATGAGGTGGTATAACTTCATGGACATCCAGTTGTTCCAAATGAGTGTGTACAGCAATTTGACTGGAATCAAAAATATACATATAAAATCATACAACTCAAACCCATCCACTTCACTTGAGCAATATTTTAAAACTATAAAAATACAATATCAGCCAAATTTAAATAGGGAACGAAAAGAATTCAACACACACGACCGTTTGCAACCTTTAACAGAAAAATAATTTAACAATCTTAAGTTACGTCCCCGCACTGAAGTTTGAATGTTGGTAATGACTTTGAAGCATTTAAAGAGCTTAAATACAGAGTCTTATACTTAATTATTGGGGATTATTGAATATTGAGTCAATTATAAACAAACAATAAATGTATTGAATATAACACAGCATGAAATATTGCTGTATCATAGTCTCTTCTATTAGCGCAATATGAAATTCACTTTTGTTAATATTTTCATAAGTCCACAGAAATTGTTATGGTATTTAGAATAATCTCATAATTGTAACTTGATTCAGTAATAACATACTAGGATTCAACTTGATAGTTACCTGTTTTGCAGATGGTTTGGAACGTTATACTAGATGTTCAGTTGGCTCTGAAACATAAATTTACATTAAATAAAATGTGTTGATTTGTAGTTAAATAAACTACGAGTCAGAAAAATTAAATAACAGATAAAAAGTGTAAGTGACGTTAAGGAATAGTGATTTTTCAAACCTAAATCTCACCTTAAATTAAGTTACATCTAGAAAATTTATAAGAAAATTAAATTATAATATTGCATTGTCATCCATTTGTGAGCTATGTTTCAAGTTTCAAGTCTCTGGCTCATCGGGAACTTAGTATAAAATCGATTGCAAAATTTGTACCGGACAAAAAACGCTTTAAAATAGGGACTTTTTGGACATTTCCAATTTTTATTTTTGGCCTATACAAAATACTTGACATATTAAAAAATGTAGTGAATGACAAAAGATAATAAACAACTGAGAAGCTCTGTAGTACAAGTACATGAGGTGTTAAGACCAAATAGTTAATTTGCTAACTAAATTATTATTATATGCATACTAACAGATTTTGATATTTATTATGAAATATAGACTGACACAAAGAAAAATTGTAAGTCTTCATTTTTACAGGTTTAATATATTCTATGTGCCTAAGCAACACACATTTCTTATAGCTCTGTAATAAAGTATTACATGTATCTAACTATGCCATTAAATCTACCAGACTAAAAGGGTTATGATACATATAAATAATTTATCTTGAAAGAATAATAAAAACTATAATGATTAAAATACTTAAATAAAATGCCTTAAAAACTCAGTAAAAAAATATAATATCATGCCTGTTTTACTTGAAGTAGACATTTCATGTCTATGGATCAGCTGCAGCCAATTTCCAAGAATAAAAGAACTTTGTTGAATGGGACAGTCACAGAGTGTGTTGCAAGCTTAATTTCTATTTAACCCTTAAAAGTTATAACTTTCTATGGTTTTCAATGATTTAACCTTCTAGTTTGGCTTGGTTAAAAGTTACAATCAGTAATTAACATCAGCACACTCTATTGAGGGCTTTTGGTTATAACTTGGCTACAACTTCGTAGGAATGGAATGTCTAGTCCAATCCTTAGTCAAAGAGTGCAGCAAACAAGATTAATATGAACAAAAAACAAAACAAGCGTGACAGTACCTGGGCGATTTGTTTACCTGCTGCGCGAACGGGACCTGGACCTGGACTTGCTCTTGCTGCGGTCCTTGGGTGTGCGTGACTTGCTGCGGCCACGGGATCTACTGCGAGAGGCGCTGCGGCTACGAGTGCGGCGGTCACGAGAGCGTGAGCGAGACCTGCTACGACTATATGACCTGGGGAACACCCCAGAGTGTTAATAAGAGTGAAACCTCACACCTTCACCTCTCACAAGTTGCTATTGTGATGATGTTAGATGGTCGATTTTTTTAATTACATACTAGTCTTATACTAAAAACTCCTCGGTCATCTTGTGGTTATGCCTGCATTTGTCAAATATTGGTTTCTAATGGTTCATCGGGCAAAATTTATTTCTGAATACTTGATACGGTAGAACCACCCCTACCCACCACAAAAGGTTTTTGTTGTAGTTAACCTCTTCTGCCCAGAAGAAATATAGAGATTGGTTTACCCACCATGAACTTTAAAACTGGTTTGTTTGACACACTTTTCCTAGGAATCTAGAGAGACTTCCGATCCCATCTTTACCACAGCACGGACAATTTTCAACACTCTTACCACTGTGTCATCCAATATTTGACAAAAGAAAACAGTAAGAGCATCACCAAATTAGTTGTTGGCTAGCATAAACACTTTAGAGCATAGAAAATAAAAGCAAGTGTAAAAAATGTAATAGTTATGATTTAGAAGAAGTATATTTTATATAGATAATACAATTGAAGGGAGATGAAACTACACTACAAAGTCTTAGACAATCAATTTAGTTTAACACCAAAATGAACCAGTAAAACTTATTAGGTGAGTGGTATTCCAATCAATTTATACTTATTTATAGGCCAAACTCACAGGCAATGAGGGCGAGATATTTTATGAGTGGAAAGTCTATGTACAAAATTGAAGCATAATAAGAATAAGAAAGTATGACTTTTTAATAGTATAAAGAGTTTGTCTAATCTAGATTGCAAACTATTTTTTTACAATTACATATTCAAGTAGGAAAAGGGATACCTATTTTTTACTGAAATTGTTGTGCTAGCATGGACATTTCTATTAAATAAAATCAGCAATTGATCTTTAGGATTGTTAAATGATTATTTTTCAGAATAAAATGTTTTTTTTAGTAAAGTATTGAACATGTTATGTAACGCTATTTGACGTGAAGTGAAATTTGTATGAAAATGCAAGCATGACAATATGTTGAAAATATATGATGTGAGAGAATGATTAGGCCTGAAAACATACATTGAGAAAATACAAACCAAAAAGATAATCTCACATTCATGAGATGATTTTAAGATTAAGAGTAAAGACACTTGGCTAAAATATCAGTACCAAACTAACCCAACAAAATGTTTAAGAAGAATGTAATACTACGAAACCTTTACTAAGACCTATGGTTAATAAAATACAGTTTGTTACCGTGACTGAATGGGTTTGATTTTATGCAATATGTGTAACTCACATATATAGAGTGAGCGTGAGAGTCTAAACCGCCGATTGAGAACCGCAGATAGAGTGTCGAGCTACGAAGTCTACAAAACTTAGGAGAAACACAATCTTTTTCTGTCTGTCTTTCTTTCCCTCAGCGCCACTGCCAATCATCTCGTCATTCAAAGTGTTGTCCCAATGGTTTTCATTGTTTAGTTTTGTCATTTTCACCAGACATATACAAAAAAATAATACTGTTCCGTTTCCAGTTGAAATTTATTATAGATAGTAAACAGCGCAGCGCGTTCACTAACAAGAAAATTGTAATGCAGGATTAAAATTTAGTATAATTTTGCACAAAAAGAATAACGGACGAGAGTTAATTTCACCAATTTTACTCTCTTGGCCAAGAAAATTATCAAATTTGTTACTGTAAGTAAACAGTAAAAGAAATGAGGGAAAACAAAATTCTATAAAGTATCAAACTAGAATCAGCGGACATTTGATTTGTATTATTTGTCCCCCGAGATGATTGGCAGACAAGTGTGAAGAGGCGAGGCGCAGTGACCGTGCGTGAGGCGAGGTAGTTTCTACGCAGTTCAGATTAACATTCTCTGCGTCGTTCGTTAGAAGCAGGCTGTGTGCTGTGTAATCACCACTCAGCCCCACTTCCTATAAAACGTCAGGAAGACAATTGTTTAAGATTTACATTCAAACCCCAGCCCTTACCCCCAATAAAAATAACATATTACTGTAAAAAAAATCTATTACCATAAGCCCGCACAAAATTAAAAATTCAGTTCCTGTTATTAAAATAGTTGTAGAACAAAAATAATAAATTTGGTAGGTATACATAAAAGTTTCCGCAATTACAGCATATAAAAATAAAAATACATTACATTATGTTGTACATTTGACAGATTTACAAGAATCACTATTTAAATTATAAAACTGTGACAGACAGTAATACATACCTGAAACATCCCTAAATCAATATTATCAGACTGTTTTGTGCTTAAACAACTTTAAGTGCCAACAATTAACATAAAGTGCTGTGTGTGTGGATAGAAATGAACACTTCAAAAAGAGCCATATCTTTATTAACATGGCCTGAATATTTCGAGAACACAAGTCTGGAAAAGAACATAAGATATTAAGAATTAAGGGATTTTCGAAAGGAACCCACCTTCTCCTTCCTCGGCCTCGGTAGCGTGTGCAGTCCCGAGCGTAATGTCCACGCTCGCCACACTCATAGCAGCGATCCTCCGGGTGGAACGGGCGGCTGCGGCGAGGTGGCGGACCTCGATAACCACTCTTTCGAGCTCCGTTAGACATCTCTACCCTCACACGTCGGCCACACACAGTCCTACAAACACAAAATAGCAATCCAGTATTAATAACCTTTTGCTACAGATTGAAGATACCCCTTTTTATATACAAACTGTTACACTCATAAATTTCAACATTATATCGACGAACAGCCTAGACCCAACTTCAATTATCCCAAAAATCACATCTAAAAATGATGACTTAAAAAACCCCACCAAAGTATACATCCAACCAAATCAATTTTGTATTCTAGGCCTATTTAGCATTAATGGTAATATGTAGTAGCAGTAGAAAGAAAAATGTGCCTATGTGGATGGGCAAAAGCAAGGTTATTAGAGGCTGCAAGACCTCTTAAAAGGTTCAACTAAAGACTATTCTGATTTGATACAAATAAAAATTTTTTACAGTACTGCCTATCTGAAATAGTCGAAATGGATTGTAACGCTCAAAACAGCCTCAACTCTGACTAAAATTACAGATTAATGAAATTCTGATTATCAAAATCAACCAATAGCCACAAATTCCTCCAAATACAGCTCTTTAATAAGCTACCTGTATTGTTTCAAGAGCTTGATTATAATAAATTTAAAGACAGATTGGCTGATTGGCTTCTTGACAGAAGCTTTCATTCACTGGAAGGTTTTTTTGGATGCCAAATGTCTAATATATAGTTTCAGTTTTTTAAAATCCTGTTTTAACTTATTTTCTATCACTACAATATACCTAATTCATAGAAAAATTGTATATATTTTGACGTTGTCTATTGTACTTTTGTATTTAACGACAATAAAGATATTCTTATTCTTATTCTTATTCTTATTCAATCACAAATTACTTCTCACCTTCCGTCCAAACCTCGTACTGCATCCTCTGCATCTCTGGGGTCTTCAAATTCAACAAATGCAAAGCCGGGTGGGTTTCTGGCCACCCAAACATTACGGATCGGTCCATAATAAGAAAATGCTTCTTCCAAATCTTGTTTTGAAGCGGATGATCCTAAAATCAAATGTAAATAGGCTATAGTAAAGAGACTAAAAACCCATTGAGAAGTAGGTAATTTCCATCATGCATCATTTTCTTAAAATAAATAGGCTGCCAAAGGTTCTTAGGGGATTAAAATTAAATATCAATCATGCTAACATTTCACTTCCAACCCCTAATATATATACTGGTTCATTATAAGAGTACGGTAAGTTAGTCCTAAAAATGTGGTTCGGATTCCACTATAAACTGTAGGTCCTGTAGTTTCCATTAGCTGTATGGGCTACTAAATCAACAGCTGTCTAAGGAATAAGTCGGCCTTAGTCACTAACAAGACTACAAGATCGCGCCACTCATCCTACACTCATCTCCATTCATCCTAGGCTTAAAATACCTTCTTTGTATGGTCGCCATTTCATTGAAAAGTATTTAAGTATCTAACTATTTTAAATAATGTAAGTTTAATATAAGAAAATTAAGTCAAGTCACTATATGGTCCTGGCTTTTACTTCTGTTAGCAGCAAAAGACACCCTCTTGTTACTTCCTAATCAAAAACATAAAAACCACAAGAAATCCATCCAGGTTTAAATTGTAGGGTAGGCCTTTTTAAAACTTCCCGAAATCTTTCAATTAATTAGCAATTTAATAGGGACTGATAAGTTAAGGTATTTGAACTATAAACAAGACAGCTTGTTTTGAATGCATTTTAAGCTTACCTAAATCTCCAACATAAATCTTGCAGTCTGCATTACCAGAATCTCGGTACCGAGACATCTTTGAGTCTGAAACAACATTTCAAAATACAGATTCAATTCTTATTTTGCCTTTTAGACCTGATGACTGCTTTCATAGCAGTGAAAAGTTGAGCGGAGTGATCACGTTTCACAGTTTTAATAAAGCAATAAATTAAAAAATGTTTATTGATAGCCTATAATACAAAATACAACTATTCCATCAATTTAACTTATCAGTTTCGCTCAGAACTATAACACCTATAACAAGTATCATAAGTAAAGACGTGGACATTACATACATAGACCTATCCTTTGTATCAGTACTTTTTCTGTGTTTGCTTGCTAATGTGATATGGTGAACCCACAGTTCTGGTTGAACCCGACCTTGAACCTAAACCAATTGACATTTTCTCAATCTTGGCCAGATTTTACAATTCAGACAGAAATAATCCTTCATTTATCCATACGATTTACAGATGCAACTTTTTAAAGACTTGCCTGCTTTGAGAGAATTGCACTTAAATAGTTGTCACCATGTACCTTATGAGGTTTTTTTTTTCAAGCAAGTGTTCTACATTCAACTATCTCAAAACATTGCCAGAAGTAGTTGTTTGTGTGGTCCGGGCGTTTATTGCTCGTCTCCAAATTATACACATATCAAGCAGTTTGGTAATTATTTAGTAGGCCTATAGATGTCAAACAAATTTTTAATTTTGATACCTAACTTAAAAAGTTTTTTGCCTCCTACAAATATACCATTATTTATAATAGCAAATGACTATTCCTGAAGATATAACTAGTAAAATGTAGGCCTACCATGTTTGATTGAATAAGGTATTTAAGACAAACGACATTTACAAGTAGACTAACAATATATCTTTCAGAGAGGTCGGTCAGGCTTTAAGCGAATTCGTGACTGTATTTCTAAATAAGTCCTTTGAAGGTAGGTTGGATTAGGTAAGGAAAAGTTTAGGTTATGATGAATCCAGTTGTTGGTTTATGTTACCTAAAGACTGTTTTCGTTTGTAAGTAAAACCCTTAAAAACACCCCAAAACACTAGCCTATTTAAAAAAATGCAAGAATTTTTTTCAATATAGTATTTTGAAGTGTATTTTTTTTATGGTTTTAATTATTATAGCCTACAAAAACTCTTTAGGTAGGTATCTTAATAAAACAACTTGATTTATAACTTTAGGCTACCTTCCTAATCCAACCCAACTTCAAAACACTTAATACAGCCTCAAATTCACATAAGGCTCGACCAACCACCCTGACATGCCTAAACAAGAATAACGTTTGTTAATTACCACGTCGATTAAGGAGACTAAGGGAACCATAGTAATTTATATAACATTCGAAACTTGATTGATTTTGACCTCAACACAATGGTGCAAAAATTGTTATGCTGTCACGAAAACTGAAAAAAAGCTACGATCGATTGAATTTCATTTTAATGTTGTATTAGGAACTTTCATCTGCACATCAATATACACTAGCTACTTAACACTCTAAAATCAAAGTTGATAACCCAAGTCACATTTATTGATTGATGATTATAATATGCCATTTTAAAGTAAATACATTATTACCCTCCCACCTTGACCTTGCGTACTGAACGCACTAATGACTGTTCTCCCAAATTTAAGTTTATAGGCTTCCCTCGATTTTTGTTAGCCAACTTAGTAATACCTACTTCACTTCAATTTCAGATGACAGATGGTGTTTTAGCAGGTTCAGGTGGGTCTTAGGTTTGTATTTGAAAATAGCTTCTGAAGGCGTCATCCCAGTGATAGAATGTGGGGTGTTTCGATAAACAAAGAGGAACGAATATACTATAGGATTTTGTATACTTCGTGAACAATTGTGCTTGGCGTCATGAAGCATTTGCTTGCAGAAAACGCAACTTTGACTGTCTGAACTGCTCTTTCTGCAAGATCGTTGAATGCAGGATGATACGGAGAAGTTAAGTATGTGGTAAACTCCCATTGTTTCAAAAAACTTTCAAATTCTTCAGACCTGAATTGTGGTCCCCCATCAGTAACAACGGTGTTTGCAAGCCCAAAAGTTTCAAAGCAATGTCTCAGCTTCTTGATTAGCGGTGGTACCAGTAATGTAGAACACCTTAATCCATTTAGAATAGGCCTAACTATCTACAACCAACAGAAAATCTTTTCCTTGAAGCTCGGCAAAATCAAGATGAATTCTTTGCCAGCAATGATGTGGCCATGTCCATGGTTGTAGGGGTACAAGTGGAGCAGATTTACATGTCTTTTGACATATTGAGCATTCCCTCACCATGTTTGCGCCACATAAACAAAACTGTGTGCCAACGCCTTCATTTTTGATTCGCCAGGATGTTCTGTATGTATGTAGCAACATTGGTAGGCCTATTTATTTTTGATGAGTAGAAGGTATCACTACACGATTTCCCTATAAGAGACACCATGTTCAGTACACAAGGAGATTATAGGATGGTAATCCTGGTGTTGTTACTAAGATCCTAAGTCCTGTCCATGGTGTCTACTAAACCTGGTTTGAAAAATTCAAGGAGTTTTCCAGGAGAATTCAAGACAAATTCCTGAATTTTAAGGAGCTACTATCGGAACCCGTTTAACTAATCGCAACCAGCTAATAAATGAAAATGATTATTATTAGGCTATTATTATTATTAATAATGATTATTATTATTTGAAACAAAACATTTCCAAAGAATAATATTTTATACAACATAATAAAACAGTATAACTGGTAGGTAAGGCGACACCAGTTATCATCTCCCGCGATTGTGGGAATATCAGTGAGCATATCTTGCAGTATCTTCAACATCAGCGACAAAACGTCACACCGTCAACGATCACGGCAACACCCGTATTCATATTTTGCGGTTTGGGCGACACCGATAACCGTCTCTCGCGATCGCAGCAATTCCCGTAGGCATATCTTGCGGTTTCGGCAACACCGATAATCGCCTACCGCGATCGCGGCAACACCCGTGGGCATATCTCGTGGTTTCGGCGACACCGATAATCGTCTCTCGCGATCGCGGCAATACCCGTGTTGAGCATATCTTGCGGTTTTAGCAACACCGATAATCGTTTCCCGCGATCGCGGCAACACCCGTAGGCATCTCACGCGTCTCTCGCGATTGCGGCAATACTCGTGAGCATATCTTGCGGTTTCGGCAACACCGATAATCGTCTCCCGCGATCGCGGCAATACCCGTGAGCATATCTTGCGGCTTTAGCAACACCGATAATCGTCTCCCGCGATCGCGGCAATACCCGTGCGCATATCTTGCGGTTTTAGCGACACCGATGATCGTTTCCCGCGATCGCGGCAACGCCCGTAGGCATCTCACGTGGTTTCGGCGACACCGATAATCGTCTCTCGCGATCGCGGCAATACCCGTGAGCATATCTTGCGGTTTCGGCAACACCGATAATCGTCTCCCGCGATCGCGGCAATACCCGTGAGCATATCTTGCGGCTTTAGCAACACCGATAATCGTCTCCCGCGATCGCGGCAATACCCGTGCGCATATCGCGGCAACGCCCGTAGGCATCTCACGTGGTTTCGGCGACACCGATAATCGTCTCTCGCGATCGCGGCAATACCCGTGAGCATATCTTGCGGTTTCGGCAACACCGATAATCGTCTCCCGCGATCGCGGAAATACCCGTGAGCATATCTTGCGGGTTTAGCAACACCGATAATCGTTTCCCGCGATCGCGGCAACACCCGTAGGCATCTCACGTGGTTTCGGCGACACCGATAATCGTCTCTCGCGATCGCGGCAATACCCGTAGGCATCTTACGTGGTTTCGGCGACACCGATAATCGTCTCTGGCGATCGCGGCAATACCCGTGAGCATATCTTGCGGTTTTAGCAACACCGATAATCGTTTCCCGCGATCGCGGCAACACCCGTAGGCATCTCACGTGGTTTCGGCGACACCGATAATCGTCTCCCGCAATCGCGGCAATACCCGTGAGCATATCTTGCGGTTTTAGCAACATCGACAATCGTGTTCCGCGATCGCGGCAACACCCGTAGGCATATCTCGTGGTTTCAGCGACACCGATAATCGTCACTCGCGATCGCGGCAATACCCGTGAGCATATCTTGCGGTTTTAGCAACACCGATGATCGTTTCCCGCGATCGCGGCAACGCCCGTAGGCATCTCGCGTGGTTTCGGCGACACCGATAATCGTCTCTCGCGATCGCGGCAATACCCGTGAGCATATCTTGCGGTTTCGGCAACACCGATAATCGTCTCCCGCGATCGCGGCAATACCCGTGAGCATATCTTGCAGTTTTAGCAACACCGATAATCGTTTCCCGCGATCGCGGCAACACCCGTAGGCATCTCACGTGGTTTCGGCGACACCGATAATCGTCTCCCGCGATCGCGGAAATACCCGTGAGCATATCTTGCGGGTTTAGCAACACCGATAATCGTTTCCCGCGATCGCGGCAACACCCGTAGGCATCTCACGTGGTTTCGGCGACACCGATAATCGTCTCTCGCGATCGCGGCAATACCCGTAGGCATCTTACGTGGTTTCGGCGACACCGATAATTGTCTCTGGCGATCGCGGCAATACCCGTGAGCATATCTTGCGGTTTTAGCAACACCGATAATCGTTTCCCGCGATCGCGGCAACACCCGTAGGCATCTCACGTGGTTTCGGCGACACCGATAATCGTCTCCCGCAATCGCGGCAATACCCGTGAGCATATCTTGCGGTTTTAGCAACATCGACAATCGTGTTCCGCGATCGCGGCAACACCCGTAGGCATATCTCGTGGTTTCAGCGACACCGATAATCGTCACTCGCGATCGCGGCAATACCCGTGAGCATATCTTGCGGTTTCGGCAACACCGATAATCATTTCCCGCGATCGTGGCAACAAAAGCGGTAGTGTTTCGGTTAGGCGACGATTCCGATGACTGGGCTCCGGATTCCCGGAGGTTTGGGTGGATTCCTGGAGTTTTCCAGGACATTTCAAGGTAAGATAAAATTCCCGGAGGTTTCCCGGTTTTCCCGAATTTCCCGGAGAGTAGACACCATGCTGTCACATATTTGGTGAAAGTAGAAGACCGGATAAGGTTTGTACGTGCTGGCCACCTTAGCCCTCCAAGTGTCTCTAGTTTTGGTCTTAATGTTCGCCCATTTATTGCGCAATCGCAGGGTTTTATTAAAATGTATCTTAGAAACTAAAAACAATGTAAAGTATAACTTACTGTTTATATAATTTTGTTTGGAAAATTATGGGCTACAATGTAACATATAAAACATAACAAAAAAATGTTCAAGAATTTTTGAGGGGTTAACATTTCTCAAAAATTATAAAATAAATGATACAAATTTATGTTTGCGCTCAATAAATTGTTATAATTTATATGTAGGTCTACAAATATTTTAAAATAGCCACTTTGTTCAGAATTTTATGAGGATTCCAAAAATATAATAATATAAGGAAGTACTAGGTTTGCAAATAAATAAGTTATGGGCAAAAAATAGATTTCGGTACATAGCGTTTAGCTAAGAATGCATAGCCTAACCATAGATAGGAATCTGGCTGATAATTTATATCAATAGGCTATCACTACCTACTTCTTCAGGATCATCAACCAGCCCTTCAAAATCACTTAAATCTTCTTATAATGCACCACGTAAACTAATTTTGATTTTTAACCCTAAAACAATGATAAACGTAGGCTAATAAGTTAAAACACATCAGTCATCGGTGCGAGGTTAACCCTCCAACTGGCACATAGAAAAGTCTGTAGTGGCAAGGCCGTTTTAGTGATTTTGCAGACATATTTTTGAAAATTCATATAAATTGAACTAATAAAGTAAACCATATGAACCATATACTTGAATTATTCGTAAAATAATGAAGAATCTGAGAATGGTAAAATTGCAAGTAGTTGGAATAATAATTTTTGAAACAAAGAGAAAAAAACAAAAAAATTTTTTTTTCCAATTTGAAAGCAAAACTGTGCTGCAAATGCAGAAAATTTTTTATATGAAATCCAAGATATACAAAATGTTAGCAATTTATTTCTGTACATAAAAAAGTAAAAACATTCAATTTATAATTTTTTTTGGCTGAGTTATGGCCAAAAACTAAAAAACGGTGAAATTCCCATAAGCTTGTGAACAGGTGAAGAAGATAAATTGCACGTAAACAACAAGTGATGACGTTGGCACAGGTTGTGCAACATACTGCAACAAAAGTCCACTATGCACAGAATTTCATGGGCTATCAGATTGTATATGTCATTATAACAAAAGTTATAAATTTTGTTGAAACATGTGAATTACTACCGCGACTATAATAGTCGCGCTGCCAGTTCAGATACTCGTAAAAAGGTGGCCGAGGTGTTATTTTTCTATTTGAGTTATTTATAAATATATCGATATAATTTATAGCCTATATCTCAATATAGAAAATGAACTGCCGGATGCAGTGGTACCACCCGCTGTTCCGTAGACTAAAAATACCCCTTGCTATTATTTATTGAAAATATCCATTTTCGGTAGTTTTGTGATGCTTACATAGAGAAACTGACTTCGCGCGAAATTTTCTTCCCCTTTATCACTTAGTTATATTGATCCATCAGTGTTATAAATGTTATTTATGTAATAAAATGAAAGTTTAAAACCTCATCTTTCGATTGGTATACAATTTATGTAAGTTAGCGATCTTTTTTAACTGTTAATATGCAATTTAAAATAACCTTGCAAAATGCAACTAAAAATGGTAATGTATTATAGTCGCTGCCACTACAGACACCGACTACCGCGACTATTATAGTCGCTGTGCCAGTTGAAGGGTTAACCAAAACAAGCTGTTTACAAATACGCACATCAGCTGTCTGCTACAATATTTTCGGAACGAAAATGAAAAGCGTATAGAAACAGACATCGGGAGAAATCTCTGAATCTGCTGAAAAAAACGATACCTACTTAACTCGATCCAGTTCAATCCGATTCAGTCAGTCCCAGAACCGTCGCCGTAAACAGTGTTTGTGAGTCACAAGAGCGACACATAACACTGCAGCGGATGTGTTATGAATCGCTTTTACGACACATAGGCCCTAACACTCGGAGGGTTAGAGCAAGTCACTTGAAAAGTGAAGAAGGAGAAGACGATATCACTGTACAATTTCCAAGAGAAATCTACGCCCAAAAGAGATAACATTACAACAGGACAGCAAAATCCCCATCATCACATACCAAACCAATATCACCTAAATGTTCATCACCCAATATCCCTTTTACTAACAACAATGACACTCTATCAGACGATGTTGTCATTCGACGCTCTAAAATATACTAAAAGAAAGAAATCTAAAATACTAAAAGATACTTAGGCTAGGCCTAGCCCTATGAGGAGACATCCGTTAAGCAGAAAGGCACAAGTTTAATCGTTCTCTAACGATTTTAGGTTTGAACCAGTTGGCTGACTGGCTGTATCAGCCCTGCAGTTGATAATGGAATTAATTTAAATTTCGTCAAAGCCTGAAATGCATCATGAAATCTTGAGGTCGCGCTTGGTCATAATGGCTGCCGAAGCTAGCCCTACTCAACCGTCATGTTTGTGAGACGGAATAAAACATTTTCGGGTTACAAAAAATGAGTGCTCACCACAAAGCAATAAGATATCGTTTGTGTTAAAAAATGTTCTAAAACTGTAACTCACCACCTATTTTGTAGTTCACAACCCGCTACTTTTCATGAATAACACTTCTTGAAATGACAAACACCAAACAAGCAGGGTGACCGGCACAGAAACGGGAAGGAGAGAAAACAAAATGGCTGTTCGTCAAGGCGACAGGCAGAACGGAAGGGGTTCACGCAAGTAAAACTATGTATTTATTTTATTTCGGCCATTTCAGGATCTTGTCTGGAAACCTCACAAAAAGGGTGAATTTTATAAAACCATTGACTATATATATACCTACTGGTATATATAGTCAATGATAAAACATACTCCCGTATGTGATATATGGTTTTATCTATGATTTTAGCGAATTTCCCATAGGAATAGACGGTACTTTCCTGTTAAAGGGAACATTCATTATTATTATTGATGATTTTTCTTCGATGTTTTTGTTTTCCGATCCATTACAAATTGACAACAACTAATTGAACATGTTTAGGCCAAAATAGTCTGCCCTTTAGGCATACAACAATGCTTCAATATACTAAATTATTCCTTATTTTAATCTCTACAAAATGGTTGGGAAAGAAATTCCAAAATTTTATGTTTTTAGGGTCTAAAATGGGAAAACCCCATTTTTACCCCATAAAACCCCCCATAAACCCCCCGTTCCCATGGTCCGATCATGCTCGTTCGTGAACTCGTTAGAATAAAATAATGTAGGTTTACATGTTTATACCAAATTTCATCAAAATCGGATGATTTTTGTTCGAGTTATCGTGCTAACGGACACACACACACACACACATTTACCTATATAGAAAAACTGAACTTATGCTAATTATGCTATATTGAACTTTTTTGCCTTATCTACCTAAATTAGACCATTTTAAGCACTTTTTACTATTGGCACTTTTAAAGGGCAACGCCTATTTCACCCTGAAAATCACGTTTGAAAATCAAGAAAAATGCTAGAAATCATTGATTTTTGGGGCTTTATAAGTTTCTTTTTAACTTAGAGTGGGTTTTTTTTTAATAATTAGTCCATTTTAAACACTTTTTTGGCAAATGCCGTTTTTACCCAGGAAACCAGGTTTGAAAAATCGTAAAAAATAGTAAAGTACCAAAAATTACCCCATTTTTGGGTAAACCAAATTAAATATGTAATAAACTAACCTAACCTAACCTAACCTAACCCAACCCAACCCAACCTAACCCATGCTTAGGTTAACAATTACCTTATTACCTTATTACCATCTTCTTGGCCGTTGACCCATCGTATAATGGGAATAGGCTGTGTCTGCGTAAAAACTACTTATTTATTTCCGCACATATGTATAAGACTCACAAGTTTAAAATATGTAAAAAAACATAATTTTAGTACTCATGGCGGTCGCTATGTTCTACTTCAGCTCATCCAAACTACCTTCCAGGAATTCCTTTATTGAGAAGTAGGGATTTTTACGGAAAAAATTTCCTGTGGTGGTTTTAAACTTTCTGCTGGCGAGGGTCTTAGTGGCAGCTGGGAGTTTGTTGAAGAATCGGATGGCGCTTCCAGGGAATGAGTCCCTATTTCTACTGAGGCGAGTGCGAGGAACATCGAGTTGATTTCGGCCTCTTGTATTGTAGTTGTGAATGTCAGCCCTGGCCACCAGGCCCAGTTCATTGTTCTTGATTTCCTGCATGCATGCTCATATGTAGTGGCTATAGATGGTCAATATGCCCAGGTTTTTGAAGATGGGTTTGCTATGCTCAGGGCGATGGCTGCTTGTTATAATGCGCACAGCTTTCTTCTGGAGCTTCAAAACTCTGGCTGCCCCAGCAGCGTGTCCCCAGAGAATTATGCCATAAGAGATATGACAATGAAACATAGCATAGTACACCATAACCCGGTAGGAATCTGTAACACACTGCTTCAATCTCCTCAGTAGAAATATGACACGAGCCAGCTTAGTACATACATGTTTGACGTGATCGCTCCAGTCCAGTGTTGAGTCAAGGTAGAAACCCAATAGTTTAAAACTCCCACCGATGTTGTTTGGGGTGCGTGACAGAGTGCAAGTCAACCAGTTTGTCTTGGTCTCATTTAGTTGCAGTTTGTTTGCCCTGAACCACAGCTCCACATCTTTCAGATAATTTTTCGCTAGTTCCTCTGCAAGGAGCGGTGTTTTTCCTCTGATATACAAGGTAGTATCGTCAGCAAACAGCACAAGATTTCCATGCCACCCCAAGTCGTTAATGGCAATCAGGAAGAGAAGTCGCCCGAGAACTGAGCCCTGAGGGACTCCGTGCAGAACCTCCCTTTCTGCGGATTTTGCACCCTTTAAGTCAACCACTTGTCTTCTGTCACTTATTTATTTTTATTTATTTATTTATTTATTCCAACGGGAAACCCATTACATTGAAACATTACAAAGAAATAACAATAAAAATCAAAGCAAGATGTGATACAAATCTACAAATAATTACAACAACAGCAACAACATAATTAATACATTAGTCTAAATTCTACAGCAAAAAAATATGTACTCTGAAGTAACAATATAACATCACCATATACCATTTATCAAACCATTAACAACAAATAAATATTTTCAGACTTACAACAACAATAAATATATATATAATTTTTTTTTCTTTGATCATGCAACAATAACAACAAATAAATATTTCAAAAAGACAACAATATAATAATCTGACTTTTGTTAAACTAATGAATCTGAATTGCTAACAAAAAATGTAATGTGACTTAAATACTAACAAAGGTAAAGATTGTGTCTACATGCATTACAAACTACTGTCACTGTGTCATTGTCGCAGGCTGTAGAGCTCGTCAGTTGCGACTCTTAGCAGGCTCCTCTTGACTGATGTGGAACTGTCAGCGAAAAAGTCGATGTGGTGTGAGGCTTTGTTCCCAAGTCTCTGTATTCTATTGAGGGTGCTGTTTGCATCATAGTTGCTGCTCACATGCCGTCTTCCAAAAAGGTCGGTAGATCTGGTTCCAGTACGACAGAGGAAACCAATCTGGCCTAGCAGCTCCGGACAGTCCACGAAACCATTCACCAGCTTGTGCAGAAACACTACTCCAGAAACATCTCTTCTGACTTCCAAGCTTTGAAGGTTGAACAATGGCTCGAGATCTCTAATAGGAACTTCTCTGAAGGCAAACCCCATCCGACAGCCAAGGAGACGTAAGAACCTGTCTTGGATGGTCTGAAGCTCCCGAACCAGGGTAATCTGATGCGGCGACCATACTACGCAGTTATATTCAAGCAGCGGACGTACAATGGTGCAATAGAGTGTCCTAAGAGAGTTGAGGTCATCAAAGTCTCTAGAAGAACGTGCTAACAGGCCAAGAGATCTAGACGCTTTCGCACAGATGTTTTGGATATGTAAATTGGGTCTCAAATCATGAGCAAGCATTACACCAAGGTCACGGATACTCTCACAACGAGTCAGTGGAATGTTATCCAGTTTGTAGTCGAAGATGATGGCAGATTTAGTTCTATGAAATGTAATACAGTTGCATTTCTTCACATTGAGTGACATGTTGTTTATCTGGCACCAATTCACAATAGCCTGGAGACTCTCCTGAAGCAACAGACAATCAGTCGGTGAGGTAATTTTTCCATACACTTTCAAATCATCTGCAAAAAGCAGACAGTCAGACCCAATAACCTCAACAATATCATTCACAAAGGTGTTAAAAAGATACGGTCCCAAATGCGAGCCCTGGGGTACACCCGACGTCACTTCAAATTCAGTTGATAGGTGTCCAAAGAATCTAACTCTCAACTTACGGTTGGAAAGATAGGATCCGAACCAATCTAGGAGCTCTCCAATTATTCCATAAGCTTTTAATTTAGCCAGGAGATGGTGGTGGCTAACTCTATCAAACGCCTTAGAGAAATCAAGGTAGATAGCGTCTAATTGCTGGCGAGCATTGAACGACTTAATTATTTCAGTTTCCATCACAGCCAAGTTGGTAGTGGTAGATCTACCAAAGGTAAACCCATGTTGTCTCGGAGAGAGGATACTTCTAAATAGAGGACTGAGCTTCGTTACGACCAACTTCTCAAACACCTTAGCCACAGCAGATTGTATAACCACAGGTCTATAGTTGTTAACATCCTCCTTTGAACCTGCTTTGTGTATAGGTATCACATATCCAAGCTTGAGAACATCAGGGAAAACACCACTACGAAGGGATTTGTTGAACAGAACATGAAGAGGGTCACACAGTAATACTCTGCAATATCTTAGAACACTTGAAGGAATGAGATCAGGTCCACAGCCTTTAGACGTATCCAAATCTCCTAATGCTTCGAAAACTTCATTTGTAGTGAAAGAAAGTTTACTCAAGCAGTTTACGGTATTAAAGTTATACTGAACTGTAGGGATTGATGGAGGAGAGAATGCAGATGAAAAGAAACTAGCAAATAGTTCACACATCTGCTCAGGCTGAGTTGACGACAGATCATTGTGTGTCAGTTTACTTGGGATGATCTCTTGCCGTTTTAGGTTATTGACAAATCTCCAAAAAACTTTGGGGTTATTGGGAAGACAGTTTTGAACATATACAATGTAATCTCTGTAGCAATGCCTCGACTGCCGACGGCATTCTTCTCTTAATCTCGAAAACTCTAAGTAGGACGATCTATCTAGGGTGTTCTTGTAAATCCGGTGAAGTCGTTTTTTCTCAACGATAAGGTTGATTAGATCAGTAGAGAACCAGCAAGGGAAGCTGGTGCTACCAATTTTCTTGAGCGGTGTATTTTGAAGAATAATATTCTTCAAGGTATCACAAAATAACTGAAACGAGGTATTTAGGTCAGAAGAGTCAACATCAGTAGTAATGGTAGTATAGTAAGCTACTTAAGTAGCTATACTATAAGCATGGAGAGAGCTTTACCAGCTTTACCTTTACCAACAATGTGCCAAAATGACCGATTTTTGGTAAACCCTGGTTATGCTAGGTTAGGTTAGTTAGTATTAAGTTATTGACACGTAGTAAAAAGAAGTTGATTAGGCCTACCTACCTACAGTTTTTTAACTTAGCTATGATAATACCGATTATTAGTAAACCTTCATTCGATGTTTTCACTATCAGCAAGTTTGGTTGGTTAGGTTAGGTTATGATAGTTTAATTTTATAACTGATATATGGTAGCTGGTAAATATATCGATTATTAAACAATATTTTAAATTTGATAGTTTCAATAGATATTAGCATAAGTTAGTCCAGTTAAGAAATTGTGCCCAAAAAGAGTTACATGCGTCTAAAATCATTGATTTCTAGCATTTTTCTTGATTTTCAAACACGATTTTCAGGGTGAAATAGGCGTTTCCCCCAAAAGTGCCAATGGTAAAAAGTGCTTAAAATAGTCTAATTTAGGTAGATAAGGCAAAAAAGTTCAATATAACATAAGTAGTATAAGTTCAGTTTTACCAAATAGGGAAACATATATATGAATTTGAACAGATGGTGTTTTTGGCCTCTGGGGACCTCAAAACAAAAAAGTAAATCGGTCCCGGGTCCAGGTCTTACCATGAGACCTACGGTAATAGCTTATTCCCTATATGGGAAATCCGCTAAAAAGTAAAACGAAATAAGCTGTTACCTTAGTACTGGTAGTACTCATGGTAAGACCTCTAAGACCAGGACCCGGGACCGATGATTTACTTTTTCCCGATTTACTTTTTCGTTTTGAGGTCCTTAGAGGCCAAAAACACCATCCGTTCAAATTCATATTCATATATATATACTTTGTGTGTCTACTCCGTTTACAAAAATAGTTGGGTGGAGTAGACCTTAAACCACATATTCAAGAAATGCCCAAAATACAGCTTGGATAGAAAACCCTATGATAGGATTATATTAAAGCTCTAGGATGCCAGCATCTTTAAAAAAACCCCAAAAGAACCAGAAAATATTCACGATGGAAATTAATGAAGTTTTCAGCACAAATGATCAAGACATTTATCGCGAACACAATACAGTCACTCAAATTTTACATACATGTTTGTCCGTTCCCGAGATTCTTCATGCCCACCTTTTTCGGGTTAGGACATTGCCTGATCGGCCCAGGCATTTTTATAGTGGGGCCTTGCTCAGGCAGGGAAGACTATACCTTTTGCCTCCCTCCCAGATACTCATCTACCTGAAATTTCCTTTTGGAGATCCTTTTCTTTATAACTAACTAATATTACAAAACAAATCAGTGCTCACTGTCAACATTTATATCTGTAGAAAAAATAACAAAATGAAACGTGTCAATATCATTCTCCTGATAAATATCAAATAAACAAAAAAGAATTACGGATAACCACAAAAAGTGAACACTGGGGCCTCATGACTTTTAATCAAGGCCACCACTATTGTGGCATTTAGAAAAAAAGTCCAAAAGAAAAGAATGCGAAGAAGAAAAGGACTAGTAAACAAAAACATAACCTCAACTCAATTGAATTGAGAGAAAAGTTAGTAGCCTTAGCCTAGTAACTTTACTAGTTAGTACTTAGTACTTAGCCTTAGTATTGTTATTCACTTTCACCATTCATTATCGTTATCGTTAAATGAATAAGGTCTACCAAAGCCATGTTACTTTGTGAGTTTTTATAATTTAAAAGTTTTTGACGATTTAACCTTTTCATAATGAACTAATTAACACCTAAAATGAATCGTGAAAGTTCTAAGGCAGCAGGATCATTAGTAGATTATCACCCACATGAAAGAGATAACACATTGCAACTTTGTGTAAAATTAGATGAAGTCCTTAAAATCCTCAGTAAAGGTGTTTCAAATAATAGTATTGGCGAGGAACTAAACCAAATTTTGAACTTTAGGATCAAACAGCTTCACAATGAAAACTCAGATGAACTAGTAAAAACCTGCAAACATCTGGTATGTAACATAACCAAATATACACATAGATCACCGCCCTTTTTGGGTGGAGAAAACTATAATGTTTACACGCTTAATATTCTTGAGTTGACTTTGGGGATTCTAATATTTGCAGGAGAAGACAAACAATGCTATGATTTTGTTCAATCTATTTTGAAGACAGTTATGACAAGAGATGAAAGTTTTACTTCACCTCACAGTGAAATCATCACTCATTTAGGAAATTTAGAGTGTTTGTTAAAAGCTCTGATATCTGTGAAAGACAAGCAGAAATTGAATCTACCGGAAACACTTGACACACTGAGAAACATCAACTTCTTATCCGCAGTCAAAGATTTCATAATTAAATTTGATGACCAAAGTGTTTCCTCTGTTGTACTGTATGACCTTGTTCCTAAACTCATCAAGGTTACTGATGCTTCAATAGTGTTCATGCTATGGACAGATTTGAAATCGCCATTGTACAGTACCAACATTACTCTTCCTGTAAAGTTATTTGCTCTTTGTGGACTATCAGATTATCTCAATTTCAAGATCAATGACTCATCCGTGATAGAATCTCTCGAATTTTGGGAAATTATTCAAGAAGGACTGGTCTCAACAGATACATTGGTTAGGAAACAAGCATTATATTTGATGAAAAGATCAATTGACATCATTAGTGTATTGAATATTTCACTTGCTTTTGACATTTTCTCCTGGAATCCCTTGAAGTCAGATGTTTTACTGGCAAATTGGCAAAAAATGTTCATGTTGTTTGAAGTTCTTGAAGAGAAACAAGCTCATTTGGTGGTTCCCATCATACAATCTCTTTTGAAAGCATCTAGTTTTGAAAATACTATTGAATCTTCATGGATTTTAGCAGCTTATATAAGAATATTCTCTCATGATTCGCTTCAGGTAGTTAAAGTTGGAATAACCTGTTTCCTGGAAATGAACATTGAGTTTTTTCTAAGTATTTCTTCTTGCACATTAGTAATTGAAATATTATTTGAAAAGCTTAACAACACACTTCTCTTCAGCAACCCTTCAAACACTGTCGACTGGTCACACATCGACATCTCATTGAGAAAATGGTTCTCAAATTTATCATCCGACTACAAGCTTTGTAACAAGTTTATACCTGTTATTACTCATGCGTTGACTAAAGTCCAGTGGTGTGCAATACCTTTGTTTCATCTTCTTTATGATTTATCTCTTGCACCTGCTAGTAACATTTTCAGTGAGGAAGATTTGACAATCCTTAGTCACTTTATCAAAGAAGTAATAAAAACTCAAAACATCTTTATAAGAGGCGCAGTGCAGTGTGTAATGTTAAAAGTCTTAGCAAAATGGACCAAGAGTTCTGACGTCGCCCTAGTGAATGTTATTGCTGTATTAAGTCTTTTTCGACAAAAAGAGTGTTTCAAAAGAGGGTTAAATTCATGGGAGATAAGCAAAGAATGGATTACTTCTTTTAATTGCAAAAGTGACGATATAATTGACATTTTATTCCTGGATGAAAATCATCTATCAATTGAAGCCAAAGCACGGAGCTTAGTTTTATTTCTTGATTCAGGGCTGATTGATCCATATGAAACTAAATTCCTCAAAGCATTTAAGGAATACTTCATGGTTTTAGAGGACACATTTAAGAGGCCGTACGCTTCTACAGAAGAAAGTGATAAGTGTTTAAAACTAGTTTTTCATATTTTGAGTGAATCCAAAGTTGGTTCTAACTCACAAGAAGCGTTCCAGCATTACGTTTTGATAATCAATAGTCTTAGTCCCTATCTGAAAGAGGTGATTTCTTATATAGAAAAGAGATTGCTCGAAGTTGATCAAATTACAAATTTTGAAAACATCGAACTGTACATTAGTGTTCTTCAAGTATTTTCTGACTTGCAGCTCATTACATTTGAAAAAGCCATTCATCTGAATAGAATTTCAAAAGAATTATGTTTTGCCTCAAAAAATCATCCGGTTCAAAAACTTCTAGCTCTTAAAGTTATACTTTGGTTTATAACATTTGAAACAACTCTTGAACAAAAAGCTGTCATAGTTGAACAAGTTAAGGAACATTGTTTATCAATCTTGGAGGATGGTCATCTCAAGTCAAACATCTTCAGCAAGAGTAAAAGTGATGAGTTGCTATCAAGAAACCATCAGGTGCAGTGGGGCTGGTTACTCTCGGAATACACTAAGACTCTTTGGTCAAATGTTCAAGAGTGTTTAGATGGAAATATTGTGAGCGTTGAAGAAATACTACAAATTACATCAGCAGAAGATATCATTCAATTATCTACAAACGCCATAGAATCTGGAGGACGGGAATCTTTAGTTCCAGTTTTAAAAGTTGTGAAATATTTAATTCCAGAAGCATTAAAAGACCCTGTTTTATGCAAACAATTTCTTCGGTTTTCATGGAAGTCTTGTTGTGAACTTAGAAAAATTGCCTTATTCTGGCCTTCGATCAAAGCTTGGATTGCATTAACTTTCAGTAGAAAGGTTATTGCTACTGAGGCCATGAGGAGCATTATTAATGAAGTAAGTTGTCTTGTTGCATTATAAAAATATTTTTTGTTAACTTAGTAGGCTAAGAAAAAGTCTAAGGATTAGGCCTAGCCTAGCTTGTATATCCTTGGTCTTGTGAAATGAATAGCAAGTCACCTACCATTTTTTACAGAACAACAACAGCCTACCGTACTTTAAATCAAAATATATTTTTAGTGAATTTGTCATATAGGAAATAAGGTATTACGGTAGGTCTCATGGTAAGACCTGGCCCTAAGGTCTATTGACTTTTTTGTGTAAGGTCCCCTAGAAACCAAAAAACACCATCCGTTTCAATTCATTATAATATTTATTCTTCTGTACTTAATGAGGACAGAAGCCAGGCTACATATTCCTATAATTACTTTAATATAAGTTAATAAATTATAGGCCTATAATATAATTAGTAGCCTACTTACCGGTATATAAATAATAAGCTTAGTGTCACTTAAGGTTTGGGGTATACAATAACCAGTTAGGCTAACTTAAATGAATGATAGTCAAAATACTTTAAGTATCTTTTACTTAAATTAAACTTAGGCTAATTCGATTTTGTGTGCATCCAGAATTGATGAAATTGCTGCCTTACAATGCAGTAGGTCACATATCTTGCTGTTGGTAGTTTACTATTTTCACAGATGCCTAATTAGTTTCTGAGTTTTTAATCACTCTGTTTTAAAATCTTACTTAGCTATTGGTCCGTCCTACGTACAGGAATTAAGTAGTCGATTAAAATTAAATATAATTCAGAACAGCTAGTTTACACGCATAAAGAAACTAAAAAATACTAAACAAATGAAAAAAGTTCAGACATTGTCATGTAGCTATAAAATTAGTAAATAATAATTAATATAGCAACAATAAATTATATCCTTACAGTTGAGTAAAAAACCATGTTTGAACTTTTCCTTAGTTTGCAGAAGAAATATTGAGTGAAGGAGAGACTGTTAATGGGTTGAGTAATGTTTTACTTTCTCATTTACGACATGAACTTACCGATCTTGAATCCGTCAAACCACTTCTCTCGTTATTGACAAAAGCTTTGATTTTTGGACAAGTACCAAGAAAAGATCAGAGGTAAGTCTATTTTAGTCAAGTTCCTTATATTTCTGATCTCACGAAAGTGTTCTTAGCTGTACTTAGCCCTCATATTAATGTAAGTACCTGGGCTATTCAACCATTAAACTTATAAATCCTCTGACACACAATTAGCCTAAATAGTGTGTAATATTCCTAGTGGGCAGAAGGAATTTCTTTATTAAAGCTGCAAAGGGTTCTTTGTATAAACATAATGGGTTACCGGTAAATGATTTTCTCATAATGTTGAAAATATGGATGTAAATAAATATTTGAATGTAAAATGCTACCAGTGCTCATTGTAGGCTAAGTTGTATTTGAAACAACTTTAACTCTGTGGCGTCAACTTAGCCACATCTGTGATGCCTTTGGTCTATACTTTATTTAATATTTATTATGTAACAGCTGTTGCTAGTTTTGTTAAACATTTAGTTTTGACTACGCCACAACTCTTTACTGATTTATAGTTTAATTTATTTTCAGGATTGAAGCTGACACTTATACATTAATTGGAAATTTAGGATCAGAACTTGCGATAAATGATTTGATGCCAAAGTAAGTTTCTTAGTTATAGTATGGTAGTGTTTTTATACATTATTACTATTTAATATATCATTTTTTGGTATCAATGCCACTTGCATGTTTTTGCACCAGTGCTTTGACTGTTTGCTTAGTCTAAATTTCTGAGTGTCATGCATATCCTAATATTAGTACATTTTTCAGCTCCAGGGCATAGAACCATTTCATCCTTCTTGTAGTGAACCTGCAGACCCTGATATTTTTAAATTTTGTCCAATTACTTACAATTTTGATTTATTCATAAATTAAGTGGAAATTACCATTTCTGAAAATCCTTTTGACAAAAGAATTGACTTTTCCAAATTTGGATAGATAACAAATTTGAAAAAAAAATTACAGGATTATGTAGGTATAAGGATATCTGACAAGGAAATGATTTCGCTACATTGCATTCTATCTTGGCTAACGGCCAACACATGTGCATCATTATTATGTACATTTTTTCATCACAAGTTTTGATTATCAGTGTTACACAACAATCTTTACAAAGTTAAATATTCTTAAACAAATTTTTCCAAAATACTATTAAACAAAATACAAAATTAATTCATAAACCACAAGATATGTAAACTGACACAATCTAACTTCAGACCAGGCTACGGAAACAGTCAGCAAGTGAGGCTCTATGCCTTGTCAGTTCTACTTGGTGTGGCCAAGCAAGACGGCGCCGATCAGCTGATTGTTTCAGCTGTGAACCAGCTGATTGATATGGACCGCCAGCTGACAGCTAAGCGCCAGAGGTACCACGGTGATTCACTGCACCACCGAGTCAAGCATCGGATTCTTCAAGCTGTCCTGGTACTGCATCAAGCATTGGTCCTCTGTGGCACCCCGGCCACTGAGGTATAGTGTGAAATAAATCATCAGATTGATTTTGATAATCAATTTTATCCAAATAGCATGTAGTGTATGTGATTGTAGAGCCACGTAAAATAAAAGAATCTTGACAAAAATTGTAAATGCAGAAAGCAAGAAATCAGAGCATGGATTAATACATACATTGGAATGAAATGTTCAAAAATTCTGACCAATAAAGAATAAAAAAACATAAAAGATAAAAGTAGATCTAAAAATAAAAAAAATCTAGTGTGTTTTGGATAGTCTACTCTCAACTCATCTGATGTTTCCACACAACTTTTAGGCTGGATAGTTGTTACTTGTACAGTTATTAACTTGACTACTATAATGTAAAATAATGCTGAATTTACTCGCAGGCAGTCCAGCTGGCTGAAAGGTCAGTCCTACTCACACGCTTGCAGACCTCATTCACACATCAGTAATTACCATTGAGAGTGTGTGTGTGTTAGTCTGGTCCGAGCTCTAGACACACTCCCTTAGCTAACAGGGTATAATATTTTAGCTAAATGGAATGGTCTGTTTACAGAGTTGTCTGGTAGAGATAGTGAAGTTCGCCAGTGCAGCGCTGCAGGGAGAGAGTCAACAGCCCAGTGTACGTTATCAGCTGGAGTGGCTGCTAGTTCGAGCACTACTCAGTTCCCCTCAGTTAATAGACAGCTTCTGGACGTTGTTCAATGAGGTACCCACCACTTTTGGTTTTATATTCTAGTATGTAACACTCTTTCAATCGGTAATATCTGTTATCTGTCACCTCAAAATGGCTAACTTGCTACTTGCAATCACCATTTTGTTAGCCGTACTGCTTTATAAATTTTACAGTTTACCGTGTTATATACTATACCATTATTAAACAGACACTATCTGCAATACCATTTGTTCTTGGATAAACTGTCAATCATAATTATCTTTGTTATAATTTTACATTTTTACCTCTAATAAGTATTGTAAGGTTTATATACTTTTAATTAGTTTTAACTAGTGATGGTCGAATCCAGGAATTTCGAATCTCAAACCCGAATCCTAAAAAATCAAATCTCGAGTCCCAAAAATAATTACAAATAGTATGGTGTTTAAAAAAGCAAGAATGGAATAGGAACCATTTAACACTTATAACCACCACGACGGCAATAATCTCTATGTTTAGTCAATGTCACAGTACTGTATATTACGATGTCAATAACCTCTATGGTTAGGCAATGTCACAGTACTGTATATTACGACGTCAATAACCTCTATGGTTAGTCAATGTCACAGTCAGGGCCGTCTGAAGGGGGGGGGGGCAACCAGGGCAAGCTGTGACACATTCCTAGTCACATAACCCTTTCTGGACGGCCTAAAGTATGTAAAAAGACAGCAAAATTATTATATTTGGATAGGAACTAAAAACTATATATTTTTTTGTTTTTAGTGTCCTATAGTCCAGGAAGGGTTAAACTCGTAAATAAATCAACAGTTTTTGTTTGAGCAAAATACTATACGTACAACCTTTTGTAAGCACTTGTTTAATCAGTCTAGAGATAACTGCGATGACTGCAGTTTTTTACACATCACCATGGATAATTCACATCGGTTGTCTTTGTTTTGGATTGTCTGTGATACGGCCTACTTCCCTAAATAAAAGAACCCGCTCTAAAGGAGACGCTCTTGATATGTATATAAGGCGAAAGGTACTGTACGGAAATAATAGTTCACTTTGCTGAAAATACTGATACTTTAATATTCATATACTAAAAGAAACATAGACATCATGGTACATGAGATGAGACTAACAGACCAAATCACATTGTCGACTCAACCTACAGATTCTAGGTTAGACCGGAAGAGCATAATAAGAACACACTAAAACTAAATATCGTTAACTCAATATAACAGCCGAACTGTTTTATAAATTATACAGTTTACCGTGTTATATACTACCGTATACCATGATTAAGCAGACACTATCTGCAATTACCATTTGTTCTTGGATAAACTGTCAATCATAATTATCTTTGTTATAATTTTACATTTTTACCTCTAATAAGTATTGTAAGGTTTATATACTTTTAATTAGTTTTAACTAGTGATGGTCGAATCCAGGAATTTCGAATCTCAAATCCGAATCCAATTCCTAAAAAAATCTAATATCAAATCTTTGAATCTCGAGTCTTAAAAATAATTATGGTATGGTGTTTAAAAAAGCAATGGAATAGGAACAATTTAACACTTATAACCACCACGACAGCAATAATCTCTATGTTTAGTCAATGTCACAGTACTGTATATTACGATGTCAATAACCTCTATGGTTAGGCAATGTCACAGTACTGTATATTACGATGTTAATAACCTCTATGGTTAGTCAATGTCACAGTCAGGGCCGTCTGAAGGGGGGGGGGGGCAACCAGGTCAAGCTGCCCCGGGCGCCGCGCAGTGGCTATTTGTATTAACATAGTATTAAAATAAGCGAATGTGACTATTATTACTGGGGGGAGTGGGCGCCACAACCACGTTTGCTCCGGGCGCCCCCAACCCTAGGGATAGCCCTGGTCACAGTACTGTATAATACGACGTCAATAACATTTATGGTCAGGCAATGGCACAGTAGGCCTACTGTATATTACATTACAACGTCAATAACCTCTATGGTTAGGCAATGTCACAGTACTGTGTATTACGACGTCAATAACCTCTATGGCTAGGCAATGTCACAGTACTGTATATTATGATGTCAATAACCTCTATGGTTAGTAAATGTCACAGTACTGTATAATACGACATCAATAACCTCTATGGCTAGGCAATGTCACAGTACTGTATATTACGACGTCAATAATCTCTATGGTTAGGCAATGTCACATTATATGCCTTATTATTCTATAAAAAAAATATTCTTGAATCTTGTTAATCCCATCTCAAATTTAAATCTTTTCTTAGGATTCAGTGGATTCGAGATTCAAATTCGACACATTCCTAGTCACATAACCCTTTCTGGACGGCCTAAAGTATGTAAACAGACAGCAAAATTATTATATTTGGATAGGAACTAAAAACTATATTTTTTTGTTTTTAGTCTCCTATAGTCCGGGAAGGGTTTAACTCGTAAATAAATCATCAACAGATTTTGTTAGAGCAAAGTACAACCTTTTGTAAGCATTTGTTTAATCAGTCTAGAGATAACTGCGATGACTGCAGTTTCTTACACATCACCATGGATAATTTACATCGGTTGTCTTTGTTTTGGATTGTCTGTAGTACGGCTCACTTCCCTAAATAAAAGAACTAAAAACGCTCTGAAGACCAGAATAAAAAAAATACTGTTGGTTTAAATGTCTACTGAGTGGCAATAAATAGTCAGCAACCTGAAATTAAAATAATACAGATTAGATTGGAGGAAACCGCTATGATGGTTGCCAAACTGAAAAAAATTAAAGAAAGTAGTATTCACCACACAAGCTGCTGAGAGATGTAGAACCAATTCTGCGCTATTTATGTCAATAGCCAACCTGCAAAGGATTAACTTAGCTTGAAACCCATTCATCGTTAATACTCTGTTTCAGGCCAGCGAGGAGCGTACAGGCAGTGTTTGTTCATTCATCTCAGTGGCGTACCACTTGGCAGTGTGTCTGCGCCGGACAGACTTTACAGAACGGTGTGTCTCAGAGGTGCTCCCGTGGTGTATGGCGCAGCAGTTCAACATAAGGTTGTATGCGCAGGTAATATATGGGATTGTAAAAATTGTGCTGGAAATTCATATTTATTTGTAAATACAGTAAAACCTCCTTAAAAAGCATATGAAAAAAAGGAAACAACGTGATTGTATGAATTGTAACTTATAATTTATAAATATACTGTATTATTTTAGTCAGGAACACAATGCTGTATTGAAGGACATGTAAAATTTAACTAATACACTAATTCTAATAAGCTTATACTCAGACTGAATACAGAAGCCTTTCTAGGCACATGTGGCTAAAGAACATAATTTATTCTTCTATCGTCCATGGTGACCGGTTTCGAGAGCAAAATCTCATCATCAGGCTTCTTCAAAAAATGTTATTTCACTCAAGTTTAGGTCTTCGGTGAACACATATACAGGAACAAAAAATATCAAATGGGAACACGGAAGGACATTACTGTACTGCAAATCGGACACTACAACTCGGCATAAGTAGATGTGTTAAGTAATATTTTAAGAAGCCTAATGAGATTTTAATTTAAAAACCGGTCTCAATAGATGACAGTAGGATCACCGACGGACATGTAAATGCATTTAGACCATTTAATTCTACAATTAATTATCCTGGGTACCTAAGCGCCATAACTTATTCATTGTACTCTTTAAATGTCTAGCAAGTTTTTTGCTGCCTTACAGGTTTCATTTTATATTTTATGTGTGGTTTTCATTAAGGTTGTGCTGGACAAACTGTGGCCCCTCGATGCTGGAGTTACAGCTAAGTACGAAATTGTCAGATTCAGTCTCACTAAAAGCTTGAAACAAGGGAACACGTTGCGCAATGCTGAAAAACTCAAAAACGACTTTTACTTCACAACGTTCCATCCACTTCGGCACTTTACTCTTGAGGTTGGTTGTTTATAAAAAAATTGACAAACTCCATAACTTTGTGGTTCAATTTTGACTAAGTTTTACTAACTTGTAGTTTTTTTGTCATATATTCATCTCTTGAATTAATCTTGAGGGAAAATCACCAAGTTTTATAAGGATTGTTGTTGGGATAGCAGTCTTGCCAGAATAGGACGAGTCCTTCCTGGCTCAAGAATAACTTCTCTTTAGACCCAATAATAAAAATATGTCACTGTTACTAACATAATTATCAACCAAGGAAGGTTTGAGTTTGAAAAAGATGTTTTAATAAACACTTCCAGTTACTAGCCAGGATCAGGATGCATATGTCAAATCTCAAATCCATCTTTGTTTCGCAACAAATCAGTTTCCTAGCCAATGAGGATACCACTTCACAAGGCAAAACATCCGACAGTGATTTCGACCTGGTGATACAATGAACTCATCATCACTGGCACCGTAGAAATTGATGGTCAGTGAAAAATGTAGCAGTGTATAGGCTGGGATAAATTTTGTTTTATTTGTTTGTTACACTCTCAGACAACTGTAGCAAAAATATTATTCTTTAAGATTTGTTTTAAGTTGATAGTAGTAGTAGTAGGTATTACATGTTTGATAATTACATCTTCAATTTTATTTGTAGCAAAATTGCTATAGCCCGCAAAAACAATGTAGCATTTTAAAGTTGTGTATGGCAAAATGCTAAAAACGCTACCGCAGCTCAAACCCTGCAATGTAGTGTATTTAACCCTTTCTGAAATTTCCTGATTGAGCATGTATTAGGCTATACTTTTCAGACCATCTTCATGGAACTGCCAAGACTGTCGAACATATCCAGAGACGAATGGATTCCGTTACCTACAATTGAAGATTCTCTATCAAATTATAATCCATTCATAAAGCTTAGAAACTCAGATGATTCTTTAACTCAGTTCATTCCTCCTTCATGGGTAGCAAAAGCAACAGGTAATACATTTTTGAATTTGTTCAATAAAATCTAAGTAAGATAGAATGTGGATTTGGTTCTAAGTAATACAGCTAAAATATAATCATTATTTTGTATGGAGGTTACCTGAGTACGCCACATATTCCTGGTTTTGTAGTTTCACTACTCCTGGTTTGAAAACGTACTCTTCTTTTAGGACTTAAATCTGTTGAATTATTTAGAAAAGGGGGTTCTGTTTGTTTATTAGTTCTGGTTGAACTAAAAAATACTGAGCTGACTAGTACTTAAAGGTAGATCATAAACCTGAAAAATATATAGATTTTTGAATTCTCTCAAAAATTTCCAGCTGACGCAGAAGTTGAGGTTGAAGCGCTCGCGATGCAAAAGAAATTTGTTCCTTGGAAAAACATGTTTCCTGAGATGGAGGGTGTGTCCAGCCGGACACAATTGATTGTGGTGGCGTCATTGATTGACAAGTTGCCTAACCTGGGAGGATTGACTCGTACCTGTGAGATATTTACTGCCGAGTGTTTGGTAGTGCCCAGCCTGGAGTTTACCAAGGATAAGATGTTCTCCACACTCAGCATGACTGCCGAGAAACACATCAATATTGTTGAGGTAAGATGATTTAGGAGGAAATAATGATTATTTTAAGGGTTATTGCGGACATTTTCAATTAATTTTCGATCAGATTCCAGATTCTGAAACATCATGAAGGGAGGGAAATGTTCACAATAATTCCTCAAATAACATAACCTTACCATTAGCAAAAATTAACTTCAACGTAAGTCGAGTCATTGGCTCAGTCTGTAAAGCGAAAGACTGAAAAATTTGTTTATGCTGTTCCTATTTAAAAAGTCAAATCCAATCAAATGTTCTTAATTCATTACATGGTTCCTGATAGGTTGTAATCTTCATAAAATAACATTGCTACTTGCTATAAACATACATCTCTCTTGAAAACAACGGGATGTTTAAAAAGTTTCTTTGACTTGAATATGGCTCAGTAGTTTAAATTAAATAAATATCTGATTAAGATTGCCATTTAAACCTTGGGCTTCCGGTATATAAACATAGAAAACATGCATAAGGAATTTTGGGATTTTGTACTCTTGATGAACTATGCATTTACAAACTTTGGTCTGTTTCTGCCAAGTTGCAGATGTATTCCACAGCTGTTTCACACTGGGTTTTATCTAAAAATTTTATTTCACGTCTACAGGTGAAACCGTTTGATTTACCAAAATTCTTGAGGGAGAAAAAGAATGCCGGCTACACTCTGGTGGGTGCAGAACAGACTGCTTCGAGTGTTTCCTTGCAGTCTTTCAAGTTTCCCAAGAAGTGTCTCTTATTGTTGGGGTGAGCATGTTACTATTTATTACCAATTATTTTTTAATAGTTAATCCTTTGCATTTGGTTGAACCGACATTTGTTTTAAAGTAGTTTACTTGGTATGGGCACTAATTTTAAAACAACACTTCTGGAAATTAAGTTTTACACCAATGCTGCTGGCTTTCCGAGCGTTTAAATGTTTCTATGTTAGCCATCTGGGCAGCAAGCTGTGGCCAGTACTTCAGCTGTGACTATCAGGCTGTTTATGTAAACAAATCTTGTTCATTGCAAAGTTTTAGGAAATAAATATATTACAAAAAATATTAGCATATCAGTTTCTTATAAGCTGACAAGTTCATAAGCTAAATTCTGAGAAGGCACTCTTTCATTTTAAAAAGCTCAAACATTCACAATCATATCTTCCTAAAGAGCATTTGGATTTTGGACCAATTATAAGTCTACAAACTACTAAACCATGTTCCTTAGTTACTGCTAAGCAAATCAACATCTAACATCTAGTAACATAGCTTGGTAGCTGAGTGCCAAGAAATCAAGAGGTTGTAGTTTCCTGAAAAGAGAAATCCTGAAAAGTTTCAGACGCTTCTCGGTTTGAAACTAGTCCCAGCTGTTGATCATTCAGTCCTGATTAATTGGCCAGCTGATATTATACAGTATCAAAGATTTCATCTCACTCATTGAACACTTGTCTTTGCCTCACACGCACTTGTATGTCGGCATATAAATCTGTTCTAGGATCTTTCCAGTAGATTCAAGATTAACTCCTTGACATTTTCAGGAATGAGAAGGAAGGAGTACCTGTGAACCTACTGCCGCTGTTGGATGTTTGCGTGGAGGTGCCACAGTTAGGAGTGGTCCGGTCACTGAATGTCCATGTCACAGGAGCATTGTTTGTCTGGGAGTATACCAAGCAATACCTAGAGGGTACATCTTGACAACCTCAGTAGTGAATGAGTGGGAACTGGCTAGATCAGTGTTTCCCAACCTTATTCCTTGGTGTTCCACTTAACAAGGCAACAATCTGTTGCGTAGGACGTAACCATTCTGTTGTTAATTAATAACGGAATCTTAGTTATTTAACTCATGGAACTAACTAACCCATTTTCCAAACACAAGTAGGAACCTTTCCTGAGGTTTGTATTTGTGCAGTTGAAGCATACCTGCGTCAAGCACTGGGCTCAAGATATTCTTTAAAATTTCACCTATATTACTCGAGTGCTATTATTTCTAATCAGCCTTTTTTAAATCACCTTAACAAACAACCTATACTAGCAGGGACCACAAGAGCAGTTGGCGGCAGCCAATACAAAGACTGGACTAGCGCGACGTTGGAACATCACCCGTTCACTACTTTTTGACACTAATTAAAATATATTAAACAATATTTTCAAATCAGCTGGGACTATTAGATTTGGCAACACCGTACTGTCCTCATTGGCTCCTTCGAATTAACGTGGTAAAGAGGCTCCTCCCTCAACTGCAGACTCTCGTGAACCGTACTGTAGTCCTGATTCTATCGTCCTGCTATACACAGTTTCCAATGGGCCACAAACTAATGCTATCAACAGCCCAATCAATCCCAACCTTTAACATAAGTTTGAAATATACTTGTACTTGGATCGTCACTACATTCAACCCTAATGGCCTAGCGGTAGACATACAACAGGTTGGGAATAGTATATTTCATTACTAGGACCGAAAGAGACATTTTCGACGCGTGCTCAAGTTTTGTGTGTGGTGAGGCAAAGCCGAACACAGGAAAACCAAATTTCACGTGCGAGGCAAAGCCGAGGATGGGAATAATGCAGCAAGTGTCAGAAAATAGCTTTTGGTACGAGTTATGAACAATACTCATAACCACGACAAAAAAAAAAAAAAAAAAAAAACACACACATACAGAATGAAATATCTCAGTAGTATTAAAATAGTTTTAGACCACTCTTTATCATTGAAAATACACTTCACACACAACGCACATGGTTTCATAATTGTAGATTTTTAGATAAATATAAAAACTTCCGCACTTACTTGAATTGACTTAGCATTTTGTATTTTTTACCAGTTTTCTAAACTTTCCGTATTCCTCTTCTTATCTTTCCCGTGATTTAGTTAGTTAGGTTATTAGTGACATCTAAAGCTGTTTTTATCAAATCATCAGTAATGTTAGACATACTTTGAGCAATTTCAAACATACACTATGCTAAAAACAAAGCAAAACAAACTTATGCCTGTTTCTGTGTATATTTAGATTGTGCAACAATAAAATCAGCTGTTTAAATCATTAAATCAAACCTAACATAGCACTGGATAAATAGTAGATAAATGGAAAACTAATCAAGAGCAAGGGAAAGTAAATTTAGAGCGAGGGAAAATCAGCTGATCATTTTCCCATTGCTCTAAATTAGAGCTTGGGAAACAACTACACTTTCTTTCATATCAGCTGTTATCGAAAATACTTACTTTCGGTAAGGAGTGATGAAATAGTAGTTTACGCAACGATTGCGTTAAGTGAGTCTTTACGACACGAGTAGAAAATTTAAGGCACGAGCCTTGGCGAGTGCCTTAAAAACTTCTACGAGTGTCGTAAAGACTATTAACGCGAGTTGCGTACACTACTTTACCTACGACCGTTTTTAATTACTATCAATCTGGATTTAATTACTAACAATCACTACTGATAACTTTTTAGAGAGGTTATGTTTTCGTGTATTGTTATTGCCACAGAAAGGGATGCAACGACTTGTTGTATAATCAGCTGATTTCCTGTAATTACGTGTTTGTTAAACTTCGTTAAATATTACATTGCTAGCAGCATTCTTACCATAAATAATATTTGTATCAGGTACAATTCGGCAAATATTTCATTTATTTTTGGACTTCCACCAACTTAATTAAGAATACGCGAGTATCAACATGAACAAGTCGGATCAACAATTAAATTGGTCAAATGATCAGCTGATCAGCTGATTAGTTGACGTTCGAAGCATTACAATTTTAATTATTTTCTCTCAATACTTGAACCTCATTGGTCCGTTACCTGTGTGGATATGAGAAAACTATGCGGATATGAAATGAAACTATGCGGATATGAAAGTAAACAGCTGTAAAGTGAAACTTTTCAATTCTAAGAACTGGACTGAAATGGCTACTTTAAAAAACGGTCGTAGGTAAACAGGTTTAGATTACTGAGGGATTACATTTTGAATTTCGCAAGCCAGTTTTCTTTTACGGATAAATGAGCTTCACTCTATTCTACTCACATTTGGGTTGAAATACACACCAATTTTGATGGATGCATGATTGGGCGTCCCCATCATGACAAGAGGTTGTCTTTACATTTAAGTATTCTTTCAAATGGGTGGTATATGTTACAAAGTTGATGTGTATACACATGTTTTGACTTTTGATACAGCTATTCATTGGCCCAAGTACCTAGGCCTCTCCATCATCTTCTACCATTTGCCATCCCACCTCATCTCCCCTTCCCTATATGACATTCTACTCCGCCACATCTACCCTTCCCTATATCACTTCTTGAATTTTCTACCCCGCCCCAGGTTTGATGCCAAAGACATTGGTTATTTTAGCAATGTATTTAATATACTTATAAATAATATTTAAAAGGATATAAAATTGTATTTTTATATAGTTTTTTTTTATATTTGTAAATAAACGATTGTAACCCCTTAGTACAAGTTTTTTTCTTGCTGTACGAAAATTAATAGTCCCTTAAGTTAAGTAAATTATGGTGCTTTTAAAATCAATTTTCTCTATTTTCATGCAATCTAAATGCATTTTTCTTGGTTTTATAACCTTAAGTACATTTCTGTTAATGCAAACTAATTGGGTCTGACCTTGGTGGAATTATGTTCTCCCATGATATGCTGAGGCATAAGTGTCAAGAATTAAGTACCTGTATTAGGGAAGAAATTGTGTATCCTAGAAAACTAAATATAGTACGACTAATATAATTTTCCCTTAGTAGTTTTTATTTTGCTCATTTTTTTCTTTATTTTGTTCCTCAATAAGTGGACTGTGGAGGATCATCATCCGATTAAGCTTTTAATCTAATCATGACCCTTTTGTAGTTTACAATTTTGTACAGCTAAAAAATTGTTTTTCCATTAAAGATTTTGTGATCTACAGATTGAGTGTAGTAAAAGTTTTTTAACATATCGGACACCTAACATTGACTCAAAGCGTGAGTTTAATTTCAGTTTTGGATGTGTAAAGCTTCCAAAAGACACAAACTTTTTATCACATCAAGAAATAGAGAATTTTATTGATTTGAAAATATAGCCTCTGGATCGTTATTGAACATAATTAAATCTAAGGCTTACCTTACGATCCAAGCCTTAGATTTAATTAAATTTTATGGACTAAACCGCACCTTTTTCTTGTTGTTTTGTAAAGATTAGGAATACACTCTTTTAATTGAGGAGAATTTATTGACTATGTAGAAACTGTTATCGGTTTTGCTGCTACCAGTTAAAACCTAAAATTCAAGCTGTGTCTACTTAGTTTTGTAATCAATACAGTGATGTAGAGGTGACAACCAATATTTTAAGGTAGCCTAAAAATGGTATTAGGTAGATTCAATTTCAGGTTTCAAAATACAGGAGACAAACAAATAATTTATTTACATACAATTAAAAACGTATAAACAATATATACAATCTTTGTGATAAAAATCCAACAATGAATAATCAATGACTTTGTATGATCAGAATAAAAATGTACACAATTTTACTAATTCAAACAAAAAAGGATTCTTGGCAACACCAATTTAATTACATGTAAAATTAATCGTAAAGCTTAAAAAATAACATTGTAAAATCAAACTAAAAATAATAGCAATAAATAATCACAAAGCAAATTTAAAGCAGCTTGGATGCACTGCTCTGATTTAATATTCAATAGAAAACTATAACAAATACGATGATCATGATTTTAACAAAATAAAATAAATAGTAAAAACAGCCTGCAGCAAATAACTACTCTTTGAAAAATATTCACAAGATTCTCTAGGTAAACCACTTCTTAAAAGGAAAATGTTCTCACATGCAACTTTGTTTTGCATAAAGCAGAAAAGTTTATCGTCAGTTGATAAGCTTCTTCCACGTCTTTAAAGGCGTGGGTAAATGTCATCTCATTTAGGGAACCGCTTCGAACTTCCTTTCTTGTTACTTGGAAATGGCTTTTCCTTTCCTGGTCGGTTACTGAGCAGGGGATGTGGTTCTGTAATAATTATCAATATCTTCTATTAGCAAAATAATCAAATAAAACTTATAACTTAAATTTATATTGGAATTCACTTAAGGGAGAGAATTGAGCACCAGTAACTCACTTAAATAAACTCCTAAGCAGTTGAAAAACCAAATAGATAGATTAGTGATGGTCGGATCCGGATATCGGACTACCGGATCCGCCGGATCCAAGCTAGAACCGGCACCGGATCGGATCCAAAAAATTCCGGATCTTGGGCTGGATCCGGTTTTGATGGATCCGATTTTTTCAAATTTTTCCCCGATTTTTTTCCTAACACAAAGCTGTCTGTATCACTGTACAACCCCGATTTGTTTACTAACATAAAGCTGTCTGTATCACTGTACAACCCCGATTTTTTTACTAACATAAAGCTGTCTGTATCACTGTACTAACCCGATTTGTTTACTAAAATAAAGCTGTCTGTATCACTGTACAACCCCGATTTTTTTACTAAAATAAAGCTGTCCGTATCATTGTACAACTCCGATTTGTTTACTAAAATAAAGCTATCTGTATCCATGTAAGAGACCGATTTTCCCCCGATTTGTTTACTAACATAAAGCAGTTTGTATCTCTGTACAACCCCGATTTTTTTACCAACACAAAGCTGTCTGTATCACTGTACAACCCCGATTTTTTTACCAACACAAAGCAGTCTGTATCACTGTACAACCCCGATTTTTTTACTAACACAAAGCTGTCTGTATCCATGTACAAGACCGTTTCCCCCCCGAGTGTTTGTCTCTTGATGCAAACAACTTATATGGCTAGGCCATGTCTCAATGTTTGTCTCTAGATGCAAATAACTTACATGGCAAGGCCAAGACTCAGTGTTTGTCTCTAGATGCAAATAACTTATATGGCAAGGCCATGTCTTAGTGTTTGTCTCTAGATGCAAATAACTTATATGGCTAGGCCATGTCTCGATGTTTGTCTCTAGATGCAAATAACTAATATGGCATGGCCATGTCTCAGTGTTTGTCTCTAGATGCAAATAACTTATATGAATAGGCCATGTCTCAATGTTTGTCTCTAGATGCAAATAACTTACATGGCAAGGCCATGACTCAGTGTTTGTCTCTAGATGCAAATAACTTATATGGCAAGGCCATGTCTCAGTGTTTGTCTCTAGATGCAAATAACTTATATGGCTAGGCCATGTCTCGATGTTTGTCTCTAGAATCAAATAACTTATATGGCTAGGCCATGTCTCGATGTTTGTCTCTAGATGCAAATAACTTATATGGCTGGGCCATGTCTCAATGTTTGTCTCAGATGCAAATAACTTATATGGCTAGGCCATGTCTCGATGTTTGTCTCTAGATGCAAATAACTTGTATGGCTAGGCCATGTCTCGATGTTTGTCTCTAGATGCAAATAACTTATATGGCTAGGCCATGTCTCGATGTTTTAGATGCAAATAACTTAAATGGCAAGGCCATGACTCAGTGTTTGTCTCTTGATGCAAATAACTTATATGGCTAAGCCATGTCTCGATGTTTGTCTCTAGATGCAAATAACTTATATGGCTAGGCCATGACTCGATGTTTGTCTCAGATGCAAATAACTTATATGGCTAGGTCATGTCTCGATGTTTGTCTCTAGATGCAAATAACTTATATGGCTAGGCCATGACTCAGTGTTTTAGATGCAAATAACTTATATGGCAAGGCCATGTCTCAGTGTATAAGATATATTAACCTTTAAACATTACCGATTTAGTTGTAAACAGTATGATTTAAATTGGCATTCTGTTAATTACGTTTTTTTTAACCCGCCCTTATGACAGTGTGTATCTGGATCCGGATCCGAAGATCCGAATCCGAATTTTTCAAGATCCGGATCCGGATCCGGTACCGACATTTTCTTGGATCCGCCCATCACTAAGATAGATAACATCATACTACATTTTTATACACATCTATACTCTATTGAGTTTTCTCAGAAATAAAGAGAAAACAAAAGTAGAATAATATTCCTACGTAATAAAAAAAATTGAAAGGTAAGTGTATATTTTAAGGAAACAAATGTGAAGACTTAATCTCACACAAGTTTACTCAGTATCAACGCTTTGTAGTAGCATTGACTGTTGGATATTGAAATTGTATTAATAGTCAAAGATAGTAGTCAAGACCTTATTATTTAAGCTAACGAAAACCCTTTGAACTATTTCCCTAAACTCCACACTATTTTGAAATCTAAAATTCTTACCAAAACTATACTCAAATATACACATAGATGGTGTCCCCCATCTCAATGATAATGATAGCTCATGTCCACTGTGCAATACAGTTCTTATGGGACTGGGAGATAATTGTGCTATAACATCACCGGTACTGGAAACTACATCTTTATCGTCATACAAACTGGTCCTTGCAACCCTTGTGAGAAAATTGTAAGAAAATAAGTAAAAATTCGAGGACCATATTGCAGATCCTGAAGTTTCAAACAGCTACTGTCACTGAAACTGACTTTTAAATACAAGGCTTATGGACACTCCATATTGGAAGGAGTGTGGAATGGTATACAGCATACAGCTATCCAATTTACCATCAACAGGTGCGTTTTGCAGGTTG